TTAATTTTTTAAAAAAGTTAATGTGTTGTAAAACAAAACAGAAGCTTGTGGTATACTTTTTATTTGCAAAAGTACTAGACTCACAACGATCTGAGGCATTTTCAGGTTGGGTGCCTAATCTTCCCAGAAGAAAAGGAAAATAAGATGACAAAGAATACCTATTAATGAAAAAAATTATGGAGTGGTTGCATCTTTGATAGTTTGCCTTAAAAATTATGCAAACATGGGAGAATTGTCAAAGCAACTACAGAAAGAACAAAGCCCAGGGTGTTTTTGTGGCTAGAGCAGGCATGGAATACTGAGAACAAAGAGGCCCCTAAGCATATTTATGATAGGTAGAAAAGGGGTAGAAAATATGATGAGCGATGAAGTGTTAGCTAGAAATGTAGCTTTATATATTCAGAACTCTGCATAGCTTTTCCCAACTTTATGTCCTCCAGTTGGTATGAATTAAAAGGTTCATCACCTCCAGCCTCTATGACCAATGGTTAGCTGTAGGTGGATTCCAGACTTCTTGAAAGCCCCCCCAGGTTGCAGAAAGCTCTATGCTGAGGTGGAAGATCTATGGCCTTCCAGTTGTTGTTCAATTACAAGTTCACACCAACTTGGCCAATAGTGAGCTCAGAAATTGCAATTAATCAAAATCACCAGAAGTATAGACTTCTCACCTCAAATTCTAAGACAGAACTTACATTTCAACATATGCTGCCTTAGGATACATACTGTCACTGAGCTATATCTTCTCTTTAAAAGAATATTGTGTCCAATTCTGTCTCACACAACCACTTAATAGAAATAATAATAATAGATGACAGCTTGTCATCTCCATTTTTTTTCTTATAGGCCTCCCAAAATAAGCTGCAGCAGCAACAATCCATAACAAAACATAGCTGAATGGAATTTAAAACTATATGACATTAGAGCCCAACTTTTCCTTATCTGATAATTGTACACAGCCTTTTGCTGTGCATATGGGTGATAAACCGTGAACAGAAAAATTACAATCTAGGAGATTTTGTGTTAACACTAGATGGTCCTCTCTTACCATGTAGAAATGACTAATGCCTTGACAACTAATGCCACGACACTTGATAAGTCAGTAGGCATATAAGGAAAGAAGCCAAAATATGTCAGAAGCATCACAATTAAAATAAGGAACACTATACCTTATTTTACTATAGATATAAAATTTAAAATATAAAATACGAGATTAAAGTATATACAAGTTTAATAGATTTTGCTCAGAAACTAGTAACACTGTAGTCTGTCATACTGTCATGAATTCCTGAAGTGTACACTGATCAGGAGTTGTTGTCTACATGTCATCAGAATCGCAAAGGGCAGAAGCCACCAGGTAGCCTCATTTGTTCAGAGTGTCTCTGGATTTTTGCTGTACCCATGCACATGCTACTCAACTACCCTACTTCCATACCTTCCAGCTTTCACCCAGATGCCAGCTCCTCTGTTGGGTTTATCTAGGATTGGTTCTTGGTCCATTCTGCTCTCAAATTCGTTGAAGTCTTCCGTTGACTTAAGGAAGTTTTTCCCGGATTTTAATCTCTGATGAGTTTATTATAGGCCACAGAGAGATGGATCATCTGCCTAGATACAGATTATCCAGAAGCATCTGAAGTGTAAAGAGCTGCTAATTTCAACCAAAATATGTTATCTTGAGAACTAAATTTACAGATTAAGGTATATTACATGTAGTCCTAGCTGTATAGCAAAACTATGTACTGGTTCCCAGTAATCTAGACAATTTACTCAAAATGTGAAATCTAAAGCAGCCCCTTACTACTGGATATTCTAGATTCAACTCCCCTAATTCCCAGACACCAGACAATGTGGCTTTAGGCATTATTGGATTAATGCAGCTGTATGGCATCAGATTGGAGAAGATGGGTTTAAGACTTAAAGTCAGAAATGTCCCTTCCTTTGCAACTTAAATACTACTCAGACCATAGAAATCAACTAATCCAACTCAGCTTTTTTCTTGTTTAAAGAAGTGTGTGCTTTAAAGAACTTTTAAAGTGTGTGCTTTAGAGAAAAACAGGAGCCAAGTTTGATTTTTACAAGACTAATTTTATCAAAGGCGGCTGCAATTAGCTTGAATACTATGTGAAGATGATATAGTGATTAAAATATAGAATCTGGCTCCTAAGCCCGGAAAATTTTTTGAAAAGAAGTAGGGAAAAAAGCACGAGTGTGGTCAGGTAATTAATTGCCCCATGTGGTTAATTGCAATAACAGTATCTGCTGATTGCTGGAAACAGTATTGTATTTTCTCTAATCCATTTCCCAATTCCCTTTGCTGTAATAATACAGTATTCTTCCTCTCACTGATGGAGTTCATAGCCTATGTAGAGATCAGAAATGGTGGGGGTATGGCTGGCAATGGTTTGTCTTTTTACCCTCAATGGCTCTGAAATTTCTAATGGCAATTCTAACAAAACTGAACAATCCTGGTTTGCTTTCTAGAAAAAGATGCTTCTATTATTCATTAATATAGCTTGTGTTTCCTTAAAATCCCATATTCCAGTGTTTTTCTCCTTAGAAACGTGTTACTGAAAAGTACACTATATTCATTTAGAAAAGAGCTACAAAGGAGCATCCCTACAAGATAGTCTTTCCGAAAGCCATTTTGATCTCCGTTTGGTATACTGCATATATGAAAATAACCCTCCCTTTCTTTAAATACTCTAAGAGTCTAGAATTCTATTATATCAAGCTGTCAGCATCTTGTTGTTTGGAAAAGACCACTTCCGCAATTCGTAATAAAACACATTCAAAACCTTACTTCCTCCTGTTAACGTCGCAAGTCATAACAGTTGTTAACCAAGGTGACTAGATGATTGCTTTGCTTAACAACCCCCACCCCTGCTCTCTCCAATGTGGTCATTAAGCAAGTTGTTAAGTGAAACACAGGGCGCCTGAATGATGGAGGAGATTCTGGGAGACCTAGTGCAGGGCCAGGGCCATCTCTCTCTATCCTCCTAAGGCCTCCCTATCCTATGCTCCATTTCCCACTCCTTGGACTTTTGCTGACATCAGGAATGAAATGATGAATTTATTTATAGATAAAAGACAAGATAGGAGAACTCTTCTCCCCACCCCCAATAATACACTTATTTTTGGAAAATCTCCAGGCTCACATTGGAAAAGGAAAGCAGGCTGCTCTCCTGCTCCTCGGCATCCCTGGGCTGTGTGGCTCTGTCTCAGAAGTGGGTGCCATTTTTGAAGCAGCAAGAATGAATTGTGTCCATTCTGAAAAATGGTGCCCACTTCTGGGACAAAGCCACATGGCCTGGAATGATCTCTACTTCTCCTATCTTGTCTTTTATTTATAAATAAATTCATCATTTCATTCCTGATGTCAGCAAAAGTCCATTGTTACTGTCATGGGCCGGTCAGAGGCCAGGTTCCAGGAGGAGATGGAGATGGGACCGACAGAGGAAGATGGCGCAGCCTCTCTGGTCCCAGAGGAGCAGGATGAGGCAGCTCCTGGCCCCTTGGAAGGGTTGTCAGAGAGGGTGCAGGATTGAAAGGACTGAGTGGCAAGTGAGGGGCGAGACAGAAAAGACAGGCGGCAGAGCAGAGAATGGAGAGGAGGCAGGATCAGCACAGGGCAACCTGGTGACTCAGGAGGACACCCGGCTTGTCACCAGGCTCACCTGGGGAATAGGATTTAAGGAGATGCTGCGAGGAGGGGTGTTTATCAGGAACAAGCATTGCATTCTTCCAGCCACACCTGCGATTAACATCTTGCTACCTTGCTTTGCTTCAACTTGCCTTATCTTGGCCTAGCCTGGCTGTGTGTGAGCTCAAAGCAATACCACTCTGCTCCAGGTTTTTGCTGCAGCCCCAGTGAATTTTCTGAATGACAAGGACACCTCTGTGATCAGGCTTTCTGTATCACTTCTTCTCCCAGGACTATGCTGCTCCTCTGGATGATAGGTTAGATGTTGCCTGGCTGCTATGTACTGGTATTTTATTCTTCCATGTCTAGATATAACTTTAGACTGCCAGAATGAAGCTACTGTCTTGGGGTTGTCATTCACCAAAAATAAGTCATCATCAATAATGTTTCTGGTAATAGCCAACATACCAGATGGGCAGGGCTCTGCATCTCTCCACATTCACACAGTATGTTATCTGCTAAAAGCCTCCACTTCACCATATTGGTCTCACATATAAGCACCTATTCAGAGTCCTCCAAGTAGTATAAGCCAGGTCATATCCTTCAGACATATCCTCCTTTAATGTTTTTTCTTGCTTAACAATCTCCTTCTTCCAACTTTTAATTCGGTTTTGTTCTTGTGCACCTTCAAGAATGTTTGGCCTTACCATAAAGCTGTTCCTAGATCTGAGTTGGCTGGCTTGGGGCACATGTTCATTCAGAGGATGTTGAGGATCATTCTCTTGCTTAGTTCTCTTGGAGTCTGCTGCTATCTCTCTTAATCTTAGGTGAGGCAATGCCAGCGAGAGGGTATATTTTCTCAAAATTTTAATATTGTGTACACTGTGTATTTTGTTTTATTATAAGCCATGTAGGATCAATAAATGGGTGGTTAAATAAATAAGCAAACTTTTTACTGGATAATTATTGCTAAATGAAGGATATAGAAAGAAGGAATAGAGCCATAGCTTAGCAGCAGACCAACTATATATTTATACCTATATGGCTCAATCCTTGTCATCTCTGATTAAAACTACATCTTAGGAAAGAACAGTTGATAATGGCCATTCCAGATCCTAAACATTTAATGCTGCAATTCTAAATAATTATGGAACCCAATTCAATAAAATACAGTTTTGCTTTGAGTTTTTGGGCTCTGCCATCTTCTTCCCAGATGGAAAAAAAAAACTAGCAAAATTCAACAATAGAGGAAACATTTTGAAGTGGACTTTCAGCATAATTTTGAATGGTACTGGTGGAAGGAGAGATTTTTTTCATTCCCACATACAGAAATGAAACCAAGAATTAGACTCAGACAGGTGCATTTCAAGACATAAAAATATTTATTCTCTTTATGCTATTCTACATTGAAACCTAAATCAGATGTCCAAAGTAAAACTTGAATGAATGAAGATAGCAAGAAAGATGGGACTTTATACATTTGTATCTCCTGTTAACTTTAACAGGACAGTAAATATTCTCTTATGGAACTGCTGCCGAGTTCTTCATCTTTCCCAATCTAAACAGTATCTGGCAGTAAAGAATCACTGTGCTGCCTACTGCGAGCAAACTGGATTATTAAGTCATAATTCAGTTGGAATGGAAGAGATTAAAATTTCCCTCAATCTTTCAAGCAGCTTGGTATTGTTTTAGACAAAGATAAATTAACAATTGGTTACATTTTTTTTCCTAAAAAAATGAACACAATTGAATAGGCTTGAAATTATACTTTTCCAATGTAGAAAGTTGAGGACACGAGCACAGCCCAGTTCTCTAAGAGAAGGGACGAAGCTTTATTGAAGAATGAAGTAGGATGATCGCCAAAGTGGTTTGTTTACAACAAAGCTGGGATCTGCTCTTATAAAATTGGTACGTCAAAAATCTGTCTTGACTATGGGATAGTAGCAGCAAGAATGAAACAGCCTTGCTGGAACGTGACAGAGGAGGAGGAGGAGAAGGAATTGAGCCAAATCCAGCATAATCACATGGGATAGTTCAGCACCACATCCTGTTTGGCCAATTCCAGCAACATAGGGTCATCGAAAAACTTGCTGATGCTCACATCCTCACTTAGACCCTAGAGGAGAAATAATGAATGGTGATCATTAGATTTGGGGGGGAGGGAGGAGGCAACAGTTTGAATTCCATTTCAGTGAAAGAACTACAGAAGTCAAGAGATAAATTGGCTTCTCATCTTACCTTCCTGCGTCTAGTTTTGATCATAAATTCTCTGGCTAGGTGTGGGGCTGGCTGTGGCTCAAGAGGTCTGATCACGATGCTCTTGTCCAGGGGATCACCTGGCACAATCTGTAATGTCAGGCACATTTAGTAAATGTTTAGCTGAACTTCCAAATCAGTCATAAAGAATAAAATGTTCAAAATCTTCATGTTGGAATATTAATAAAATAATTTAATGTTTAACATATACTTCTACAGAATGACTACACCAACACACTTATACGTGTATGGCACTAAATGTTATTTTAAAGGATTCTAAAAGGATCATATCCCCATCTCAAAATCACAGATCTATTTTTAAAACATATTTGATGGATCAAACTATCTAAAATTTATAGATCTCTCATACTGTTGTAAAAATGTTTATAAATCTTTCTTCTGTTGTAATTGTAGTTAAATATGGCAACCATGAAACAGGTTTGTAAAAAGCTTATTACTATTCAAATTCAAAAGGAAACCCAGTATTGACTTCTTAATGGCTTAAGCGATGTTAAAGAAAAAAAGTAAAAAAGGCTGAATGAAAATCCCAAGGATGAGACAGACAAAAATTTCAGGGTATCCAACAGGAATCTGTGCTTCTACCTTAGTAAAATTTCTGCCCTTCCCCCATACCAAAAATAGAACTTATGTAAAATAAATATATCAGTAACATAGAGTTCAGAACATTCCACTTGGCCTATTTCTCTGCAAAAGCATGTGGATAATTCATCAATTAATGTACAATGTTTTACAGGGTCTCTTACATAAACCTTCTTTAAAGAATTCTGCCTAGCAGGCTGGGAGTTTGAATAAAAAAATTGAGAATTTTGGATCTTCAACTTTTTCTCATCTATCTGTTTACAATGTCTCCATACCACTTACTTGCCAGTGGTGAAAGACAGAGAGCGAGAATGCTTGTCCCTGGGTATGTGTCCTGAGGTCTGTCTCAAATCCAAAAGAGTCAATAGCTGGGATAAAGGCTTTGATAGTATACAGAGGGGATCCTGGGATTGGTGCATCTTGAGTTACATGGCCTCTGCATAAATACAAAAAAGAAAGCAAACTCTTTTGATTCACATTCCCAACTGAGAGGCTATATGTTTGCCTCAGTGTGGCATAAGAAAACAAACAAGTTTTATTATACAGAAAAATTGGTGAGGTATCAAAACATAGCAAGGGTGGGGGTGGGAGGAGAATAGAACAGATCAAGTTCTATTTCTGAAAAGGAAAAAGGAAGGATGTAAACATGTATTTTGGCGAAGACAACAGCTCACTGCAAAATGTATAAACAAGGCATGATGGAGATAAATTTCCCATCTGTCTTCAGAAAATATACCAAGTTAGAACCAACATTACAAAAAAACAAAACAAAAAACCAGCAACTGCTACTTTTTGATAAGAGGCAGAAACTACTGATGTTCTAATGCTTGTCTATATTATTGACATACAAAATATCTACATTTCCAGGTTGTCCCAAGCATTTCATCTTTCCTATTGCCTGATGCAAGCTCCATCATAATGTATGATGTTGCAAAATTATATAATAGAATTCATGATCAGGAAGATGTTGCTCCAAAATGATGCTAACAATTTTCTTTTTTCCTGAGGAAAATATCTCCCTTCTTTGTAATAACTTTTTGGAACAGTTATTTTTGCATGGTTTTTTGTTTTGGTTGGGGATTTTAGATTCATTTTTAATGAACTGATATTTTCCTGTTTTACTGTCTAGTATAATTTTATACAAGAATAATTTTAACGGCTCTAGCTTTATCTTGATTTTATCCATTTAATCTCTAACCAGGATTGTTTGCTTAATATATGTTCTTTGATTTTTTTATCATTTTGGTTTTTACTATAGTACCAGTTTAACTATACCCTGACTGGTTTTGTATATTTAGCCCTCTTTATTGTGTGATTTTTTTAAAAAAAAATTTGTATGCTCTATGCTGGTTTTTGCAATAAATAGTTTCAAGTTTCAATATCAACAATGTGTATTTTTTAGGGCAGTGAGACATTTGTGAACAAACACTTTTAAAAAGAACTGTGTATTCCTGGACATGACTGTATCCTGAGATTAAAAACAGACAAACAAAACCAACCAACCAACCAACCAGTGCAATTGCCAACAAGCCCATTCTTCATCACTTCTTTCCCATTTTTTTTCCCAGTGCAAAAATATAGTTTGGTCCTAAAGCAGAAGTGAGAAGTCAGCCTGGCTGATATCATAGATGTTTGATAGAACCCTTCCTTACCCTTACATGAGAAGGGACAATCCCTCCCTCCTTTCAATTCTTCACCTTTTTTAAGAAAATGAGGTAAAGCGCTTGTTACATTATGAACAATCTGTATTTTAAATACTAAATTCCAAGAAACTATGTACCAAGTTTAAGAAACGTGTCACCAGAGAGTATTTTAATCAATATTATTTTAAACTTTAAGATATTTGAAGTTGCCACTTACCTACGCCTGGCCAAGACAGTGTACACTGCAGAGACACAGTCAGCAGGAGCCTGTACCTCCACGAAATAATACGGCTCCATTAACCGTGGTGTGGCCTAAGGAAAACATCATGCAAGAGAGTTTAGCTGGAGATAAATGCTCTCCCAAAAAACTCATCAGTAGTAAATGGGAATATATTTCCCATTTCCTTTCCCATTTATTTCAAGGGAAAAACCTAAATAGTTACTATTGACTACAGCATTTTAAACAAATAATTAACTATTGGCACCTTGGCTCCCCCCCCCAAGCTTGATTTGAAAAATGAAATTGTAGTAAACACACTATAGCAGAAGTGGTTCTACCACATAATTCCTGTTCTTCTAGTATATTTTCAAAAACTGAGAATTAACCATCCACTAAACTTCTATAGAGAATTAAATAATGTGTAGAACTCTAGTTAAGGGGAGTTAAGTTAAACAATCTTTACTTTCAAATTATGGTTAAGGCTCTTCACTATGACTGTCAGGTCATACTCTAGGTCTGAATGAAGGGTTAAGACTAACTAAAATATAGCTTAGTATGTCTTGCATATCAAGCCCATTGGGCCAGATTAGTGTTGTTTCTATGTTAGCAATTTCTTACCATGAGGAAGGCAGAATATACCACCCGGCGGGCTGTTGGAATGATCTGTCCACCTCCCCGATGTAATGGTTCCTGAGCAATAACAGCATCCAAGATCTTAAATTTCACATTACGGATCACTAGCAAAAAAGGGAGCATAGCATAGTAAGTAAGGACAGGTTTGTTCATAGGATTAAAAATGTATTAAAAATAGTATTAATTTAGGAGGCTGGAAGAGTAAACAAATATTCTTTCTTCACATAAAAATAACTTATAGACATGAGTTATTCTCAATGTACTTATATCCCAAAATGTACATGTTTTATGTACTGGGCTCCAATGGTCCCTGAAACATTCATACGTTGGCTCACAATCACAATTGGAACCAGAATTTGTTAAGTGGTTGTGGTCATATGCTGAGTTGGACCCAATTTTACAACAAATTTTACAACAGTCACTAACCAAATAACTGCAATCATTAAGCAAATCTAGCTTCCTCATTGGACAGTTTGAAAAAGTTTGCAAATCATTATTATAGGATGCTGCAACTTGTTGCAAGTGTGACTCATTTTTTCTTTTCACTTTGAACCGTTGTTAAATGAATGGTTTTAGGTTGAGAATTATCTGTAGGCTCTTTCAATTGCTTGAACTAACTTCTGATTCTGAATAACAAGAACGTAAAGTAATGGATGCTAATGGAGCATTCTGGCCAATATTATATAATGCATAGTTTCTAAAACTTTGATTTATCTGAAAAATGGTAGTGGTGTTAAAATAATTTTTTTTTAACAAGTTCCCTGAAAAACTCTTTCCTGGAAAAATATTGTTAACCCAAAGGTGCATTTTCAAGAGGCAGTTGGACTTTATTGTTTTAAACATTTAGCTTCTCATTCAAGAAGCTTCTTCAGCTCTGACTGGATGGTGGGGAATGGAAGGATTTATACTCCTTGCAGAGAGCTGGTCATTTACATTCTTTTCGAGAGTTGTTGAAGCCACTTGGAGGTTTATCTGTGTTGTCAGGGTCACCTGAGTAGTGCAAATGGGTGTGGAGCCTTCTTGGAATTGTTGAAAGGACTGTGTTGTAGAGTGGAGATAGAAGATGTTGTATCCCTCTCCTCCTGTTGACAAGAGGGCTGTTCAATTTTGACATTGTTAAGTAAATGAGTAATATATGTTCTTAAGTAGAAAATCACAGTTGCACAGAGTATGAAGAGAATGGGAACTTTCTGAAGGGTGGTAATGGGTTCTCTTCTCTCATCAGGACTGCTGTAATTTCTGGTGCATTAGGATGTGTCATTTTATGAGCTGAAAATACATTGTCAGCATAACGGTCTTGAGAACATTGAGAACAGATTTGGCCGTTTTTAACATTTACTTACATTCATCACACAGGGGCCCTTCTCTAGTCCCCCATTGGAAGCCTTGCACAATACTGTCCTTCACAGAACCTAAGAGGGTTTTGTCAACCTGTACAAAAGAAGTAGCAATGTTATCAGATGGGGGAAATCAGCCTCTGTATATTAAGCTACAATGTGGTATGCTAATTAATGTACTTCATGAATTACATTATGCATGGACCAGGTAATAAGGAATTGTTCAACAAGCTATGGTGAAATGAAATTATGACCCACAGCAATATGCAAATTCTATCTCTGTGTGTATAGCACTAATTGGAGAAACACAGCCCCAAAAGCAAGTATTACAGCACTATATTTCAGAGCTGGAACAAAGTGGTTCCAAGATCTAAAGCTCCAGATTTCTTTCTTTTTCACGATACTCTGCATTATTAGAATCATAGACCAGGATCAATTTTCCCACATTTATTCATTGTGATATCAAGTAAAATAGTGGCTTCAGAAAGTGAATGTTTTCAACCCCAAACCAAAAGAACTTGAGAGATGAAAGATCAATATAGCTCACATTTTGCTTGTTTAACTCTGTTATCATAATGTATATTCCATATTTCAGAGATATTTGGACTATATAATGTTTTGATTCATTTCCAAAATTTTGCATTGCAATGTCTGGTAAATCATAGTACATAACTTTTTAAAACAACCACTTCTTTTCTCAAGATTATGTGGCAATAATAGTATGATCCAAGAGAAAGCAGCAGCTATTTTAATGAGTTTGCTGGTGAGTACTACGTTCATACTCCTACACATAAGCACCTTTTTTAAATTGAAAAGGATCTGTTTCCTGAATATTGTATAGCTCAATTAAATATTCCTAGATAGGAAGATCCATTTGGGATGCTTATCTACCTTGACACCCAAAGTGGTAAAAGAGGAAGAACAAAAAAGAAGATTGTTTATCGCAAGCGCAAAACCATCTACTGTAAATAGCTTCTGCACAATCCTTACCTCTGAAGGTAAGGTATCATCCACCAAGATGTTTGGTCCAGTAGCATCTGGTCCAAAGGCCCAGATAGAACGAGCAGCCAACAAATCCCAGTCATATTTTGTCTGGAAAAACTCACCCAGCTTTTTCCTAAAAGGAGATATATAAATATTGAAGAGCAGAAGGGAGAGAACTCAAAGTTCAGACAGTTTAACATTTTTCTCCAACAGTAAACTACACCATGTTTTTTTCTGACAGATATTTGTCAATTCCTTCTTATACTTTTTCAAAGGGAGACTTTTTCTTAGCAACCTGGCATAACTTCTAAACCTCTTAAAGGATGAGTATGTTTTCTATAGTAATGGCTTATTGAATAATTGGTTAACCAACTGCACATTTTTGAAAGAATTAAGGTGGCCTTGACACACCAAGCAAACTGCAATGGCAGGATAACATATTTTCTTTTACACTATTTTTTTTAAATGGCTCAATTTATTCACAGCAGTGTACTCACAACTCAAATGGTAAAGCTGGACCACTGAGCCAGAATTAAAGAAATTATTTACTTCATGAATTCTCCCACCTTGGTAGCTCTGTAGAAGATTCATACCTGTTCCATGTTATTTGCACAACTTCATTCTCAATGTCTTCAGCCAGACCCTTTTCTAGAGGCTCAGCAATCATTGTAATCTTGTTTCTGAACAAAAATACAAATGTTATTTAGCTGACAAAGTAAGACAAACGACAGACGGATTATTTTCTAAAATGAAGGCACTGATGTTTCAAATGTCAATAAGGAACTTCTTTACTCAGAACTGTTCTTCTATTTGAAATTATTATAATAAGAAAGAATCTAAATTAATTTTTATTCAGTTCTTGGAACCTGCAGGTGAACTGGCGCTCTTTACCTGGTTGAAGTCTTTTAAAGTTTAAAAAAGCAGCCTGCGTGCCTCAGGCTACACACATACCTTGAGCTAATTTAAAAACTCTCTGGAAACAATCATTCTAAACTATAATCCCAATTTAGTGAGCATACAACACTGGGTGAAAATAAAAAAGAGACAACACATACTTGGTATAATCGACTACAAGAATGTGGCTTTCAACAGATTATCTGCAAACCAATGTAGTCCTCATTCTCTTTCTAAAAACAGCTGAAGGAGCCAAATAACAACTATAATTTGGATATCTTTGATGAGGGAAGATTTAAACTGGTGTTTGTAGTTCAATGTGTAGGAAGGACTTCAAAAATAATTTTTCTAAATCAGTTATTTCCCAATTCATTTGAGGGATTTTAACAAAAGGAAACATAAATAAGTAAATAATTAAGTAAGTAAATAGCTTCCTGAATTTTTCTACATCATTTTGAGTAGACAACATAGCAAACACTAGTCTTCATCACATCACATCATGACTCATTTTTAAGATTCTCTTCAATTATCTTACTTCTTATTGGGTGTCTCAGCAAAACACTTCAGGGAAGATGTTTCCACAACTGTCTCACAGAATGTGACCACAGGATCAGCTACCTTTAAAAAACAAATAATGAGAAGGGTAGAGGGCCAATAATCCAATTTCCCCCAACTAATTTTAAATGGGGAAACCCAGGAAAAACCACCTACTGAAATCACTATATTTTTGCTGCAGGTGCATTATTAGTACCTTGATATCAATCTCTGAATACATTTTCCGAAGATCATGCATTACACAGTCAAGATAGAGCTCTCCTGTTCCCAAGATCACATGTTCCCCAGATTCTTCTACCTGGATAAGGCACAGATAGAACATAAAACCGAAGAAAATAAATAGATTAACAGCTTTACCTAGCTATAGCAACAGAAGCAAAATATGGAGATTAAATTAGATATTCCCAGTTTTGGCATTGTTCAGATGCATGGACTAAACTATTTAAATTCTCAACAGCATCATGCTGAATGGGGAATTTGGGGAACTGAAGTTCCCATATTTATAGGACATGCAGATTAGGGAGGGCCTAGATAGACAGCTAAGTTAAATCTTTTTCAATAGCAACATACATTTGGATTATGGTTGCTAGATAAAAGAAATACCTTAGTCATTATATATTTCCATGGTGGAAATCCTGACAACAGCCCAGAATCTTGTACTATGAAATGGCTATTAGTGACTGATCATATGAATTTAAAAAAAAGACTTAAAACATAGAAACATGTCGAATATTAAATGCCCATTAGTAAATTTCAGAGAACAAGTTGCTATTGCTGCACACAAAGCATGACTTAGCATTCTGACTTTCAGTATGAGTGTGTCCAGTGGAAACGTACCTAAAGCAAATAAGCAAACAAGCTAAAATGCCCCAAGACCTTTCTTTGCCACAGGCTTCCCATTTAAACTTCTTATTGAAGCATACTCCAAAACTAAGTAAATTTAACTATTATCAAAATTACTTCTCCAATTATTAACATTTTGTCATTGGACAGGAATTTAAATCTCAGGATAGATAGTTCTCACTCAATGATGATAACTGGGACCATAATTTCTTCATGGCTTAGCAACAGCCTGTTGTTTTTTTCAAGGGAAAATTGTGAATTGCTAAATAAGGGCCTCATATGCAACTTGTGATTTGCTATTTTCTGCCAGCTTCCCAAAAGCAAATAAAGGGGAAAGTTGATGGGAAGTTACAAGTATTAGATGACTCACAAGCAGGTCAAGAGAGCGGGTGAGTACTAGGGAGTGAGATGTGGGATACTTGGCAAGTGCATGCAAGCTGGAGAAGGAATGCTGAGTCATTGCACAAATGTGTGTGGACTGGGCTAGGGAGGGGCTGCTGTAGCAAAAGTACATTATGGAGTACAAATTCCATGGGACCACACATTTTGTAAGGGGCTCCATGGGAGAAAAAGCAGCGGGAGCAACTTGCAACTTTCCTTTCAGCTTCCTCATTCACTTTGCTTGTGGGAAGCCTCCAAATGATTATCAGGTGACTATGGAATGCTGCAACCATTGTGTGAGCTGGTTGCCAAGCCCATAGATTAGAGCACATGACCACAGGGGTAGCGCAATGGCCAGAACTTCTTTCTGAACTGAACACGCACCTTGGTGGTGAGAGAGGGATAGCTCTTATTGACTTTCCGCAGGCCATCCAACATTTTGGGCAGCTCGGATGGATTTACAGGCTCCACAGCTATTTTGATCACAGATGTGGTATTGAACTTCAAGGGACGGAATATCTGAGCCTGAACAAAACAGGTAATTATTATAATTAATCACATTTGCATTCCTCCAAAGATCCTTGATGTTGACCTCCCTCTCACAAATTCTCTAAAAACATTGTGCATTTTTTCTTATTGTAAGAACATGGAAACTTGGGCCTTCAAATAACATGACACTATACCCACTACTATTCCATTGGCTGGAAATATTTAGAGCCAAGCCTTCCCACTGTGTCCTAGGATATAGGAAAGCACTAGAGGAGATTATCTTATAGGGCCACCTATTTCATACAATGATCTTCACATCACAACGGCCTATAAAAATATCAAAATAAAAACAGAGCAATTCCTTCCCACAAGGTACCAGATTTCCCGATTTAATCCTATCCTAAAACATTTGAGAGGACAGCCCAGTGTTTACAACATCCCAGAAGACTGAAAAATAGAGGACCCTTGAATTTCAGATGGGAGATTTCACAGGGCCAGGGTGGTTACAAGCAGTTCAAAGTTTTAGGGAGATCGTTCCAAAAACCTAACTAAGGTTTGCTTCAAATGAATAGAGTAGAATAGTTGAAAGGGACCTTGGAGGTCTTCTAGTCCAACCCCCTGCTTAGGCAGGAAACCCTACACCACTTCAGACAAATGGTTATCCAACATCTTCTTAAAAACTCCCAGTGTTGAATGCCTCCTGCCACTGAACCTTCCCTGTGCATGCAGGTAATAGTTTCCAATACAAATATGACTGAATAGAAAATGTTGTTGATCAACATCCAATTTTTTCAGTCATTAGAAAATTTGTACAGGTGAAACTCAAAAAATTAGAACATCGTGCAAAAGTTCATTTATTTCAGTAATGCAACTTAAAAGATGAACCTAATATATGAGATAGACTCATTACATGCAAAGCAAGATAGTTCAAGCTGTGATGTGTCATAATTGTGATGATTATGGCTTACAGCTCATGAAAACCCCAAATCCACAATCTCAGAAAATTAGAAGATTACATGCAATCAATAAAACAAGGATTGTACATAGAACACTATCGGACCTCTGAAAAGTATAAGCATGCATATGTACATATTGGTTTGGGCCCCTTTTGCAGCAAATACTGCCTCAATGCAGCGTGGCATGGAAGCTATCAGCCTGTGGCACTGCTGAGGTGTTATGGAAGACCAGGATACTTCAATAGCGGCCTTCAGCTCTTCTGCATTGTTTGGTCTCATGTCTCTCATCTTTCTCTTGGCAATGCCCCATAGATTCTCTATGGGGTTCAGGTCAGGCGAGTTTGCTGGCCAATCAAGCACAGTAATCTCACGATCATTGAACCAGGTTTTGGTCTTTTGGCAGTGTGGGCAGATGCCAAGTCCTGCTGGAAAATGAAGTCAGCATCCCCATAAAGCTCGTCTGTGGAAGGAAGCATGAAGTGCTCCAAAATCTCCTGGTAGACAGCTGCGTTTACCCTGGACTTAATGAAGCATAGTGGACCAACACACCAGCAGATGACATGGCTCCCCCAATCAACACAGACTGTGGAAACTTCACACTGGATTTCAAGCATCTTGCAGTGTGTGCCTCTCGATTCTTCCTCCAGACTCTGGGTCCTTGGTTTCCAAATGAGATGCAAAAGTTGCTCTCATCAGACAAGAGGGCTTTGGACCACTGAGCAACAGACCAGGTCTGTTTTTCTTTAGCCTGATGTTGTTTGTTGTTCAGGGGCGGCTTGACAAGAGGAATACAACATTTGAAGCCCATATCCAGGATCCGTCTGTGTGTGGTGGCTCTTGATGCACTGACTCCAGCCTCAGTCCACTCCTTGTGAAAGTCCCCAACACTTTTGAATGGCCTTTTCCTGACAATCCTCTCCAGGCTGCGGTCATCCCTGCTGCTTGTAAACCTTTTTCTTCCACACTTTTCCCTTCCACATAACTTTCTATTAATGTGCTTTGATACAGCACTTTGGGAACATCCAACTTCTTTTGCAATTACCTTTTGAGGCTTTCCCTCCTTATGGAGGGTGTCAATGATGGTTTTCTGCACAATAGTCAGGTCAGCAGTCTTTCCCATTATTTTGCTTCCTACTGAACCAGACTGAGAGACCATTTAAAGGCTCAGGAACCCTTTGCAGGTGTTATGGCTTAATTAGCTGATTAGAATGGGACACTTTGAGCCCAGAATATTGAACCTTTTCACAATATTCTAATTTTCTGAGATTATGGATTTGGGGTTTTCATGAGCTGTAATCCATAATCATCTCAATTATGACAAATCACGGCTTGAACTATCTTGCTCTGCATGTAATGAGTCTATCTCATATATTAGGTTCACCTTTTAAGTTGCATTACTGAAATAAATGAACTTTTGCACAATATTCTAATTTTTCGAGTTTCACCTGTAGAACAGGCTGGAATTAGAAACTAAGCTTTTTGGTATCAGAAAACATTTAATCAGTATGCATGACCAAGCTTATTCAGCAAGCTTATTATTAATTTTGAAGCCTGTAGCAGTAAAATCAATTATTTATTTGCAGCTAAAATAGCAGACTGCTGTGTAGTTATAAAAATGGTAACTGAGAGGTTCCTGCCATAAGGTTCCTGCCAGAAGGAGTCCTGAGATCTAGCAGCTACAAAAATTTCCAGGATAGCATGAATATAAACAATGAGGAGAAACCATTAATCTGCTAAGACAAAATGCTTGATTCTAGGCTGGTGGTCACAGAATGTGAAATTGATTCATCATAATGAGATAGTCAAAGTTTTTAATTCTGAGTACAATAAAGACTTGGAAGAGCAATTACCAGACTAACGTTGTTCCTAGAGCTGAAGATAAATGCAGTACCATAGACACCTTAACAAATCTAAGAACTTGGCTAAGGAGCCAAGACTACAAACTATAGGCTTGGAAAAAAATTTCTTCCCTCATTGCTTCAACATTTCTAGAACAGTTCTTTGAGAAATTTCATCTCATGGTTCAGTCTTCCATTTAAAATACTGTAGGTTTTTTTTTTTAACCTATGCTCTCTATAAACAGCTTTTCCAAGAGGGGAAAGCTTTGATACCAGAATGAAAGGTAGTAAACATTGCAGTCAATTATAGCTGAAGGAAATTGGAAATTACCGTGGAGCTAATAAAAAATATTAGGGAGTGCTAATTTACTATTTCAAAAGACAGAAAAACACACTATATTTTATTCCGGTTATATCTGAACCAGATAACCAAATTATTTACAAATACCTTGCTTTGCTTAATATACAAAATGCACACCAAAGTTGATAGTTTGTTACATTAAGCTAAAAATAGTCAGGATGAAGGGACAGGCATATGAATATCAGGAACACTGTTTTTCTTACTATCTATGAGAACAACTTTATATTAACTTTGATACCTCTTCATTGCCCCTGGGCTCAGTGACAGTGGCTGTCTTCACGATAGGCTGGTCCACCCCCTCAATAAGCACCCAGTTACCAGCTGGCACTCTATTAACTTCTATATGGTACCTGAAAGAAGACATTGGTTAATGCATTTCCAGTATTCACTGATTCATGGTTAAACGGATATAAACTTTCTTTAACCCGAAATTCCAAACTCTCTTAAAAGGGCTAAAGAGATCATTATACAAATTATGTGACTTAAAAAACCCTGCATGTGAAATATTTAAAAAATAGATTGTCTAACAGGAGTATCATTGATAACAGTATCATTCTTGGTCCTCCACATCAGGCCCCCAGAACATTCAGGAAAAAGCTGGTGAACATCCCCTATTATTCAAGAGGGGAAAAACCCTGAATATAATAAGTATTACTGAAGAGCATCTAAAGCTACGTCAGGTAACACCCTGAAAAATATAACCAAACTTTCATTCAAAGCAATTTTCTCCTTTTAAGAAGTGAAAAGATTCAATTGGCTGAAAGAAAAAACACCCTTAAGAAGGATGTTCAGCAGTAGGCCTGGATTAATCAAATACATTATAAACTCACTCAAATCGTCAGTCACCATTAGAAAGCTTGATATAATTATCTATCATCCATCCATCCATCCATCTAATCATCCCCCTTCTCATCTAAGTGACTGTGGTCAGTTTACTAGTGCATAGTAAAAATATAATAAATTCCAATGTGGGATACAAATAAATAAGGGGAAAAAACATTTCTAAGAATCATCTACCTTGCTACAGAGATCCAAAGACGTCCCACAGTGCAAATCTGTGAATCTTCTTCATCTTCTAGAGTGTAGTTTTCTCCAAGGACCTTGACAGGTTGCTCTGCATGGATGGTCCCACTTAATACCCTGCCAAATGCATGGAATTGGACTCCATCGTCTGTACTATACATTTTCGTGGTATGGCACATAAGTGGACCCTTTCAAAAGAATTTTTATTTTTGATAAAAGCCACCTTTTAATTTCTTTAAATATTATCATCACAATAATAATTATACAAATCTTAAAACCAGCAGTCATAGTGACATTCTGGTTTACTGAATCCCAAGGCAGCATCTGATAAATTTTGAATGGCCAATGCTCATTATTAAGGCTGGTATCACTTTAATAGTGTACTTATCTTATGGGATTGCAGTATTCTGAATTGAAGGAACCATCATAGGATTTATGAAAGAAGTCTAGAAATCCTGTAAGTCTGGTGGGAATGCCCCAGTAATACACAAAATGAGACATACATTGAAGTTGGGATTATGCTTTGTTTTTCAAATATAAATATATTTGTGTCTTGCAACAGTTGTACTTTTCTTCAGGGTGGATTCTAAAAAGGATCGTTGGGCATATGCCTGTTGCGGATGGTTAGCTTTCATCATTCCTAGCAAAGCATAGTCTCATTCATTCTTCAACTACCTGTATATCCTGATTCTCTTTATTCATCACTAGAAAAAGCATGTGACTAAAATTTGCTGCCCTACATAGTTTTTACACAGACTCCATGTTTCTGAGAGAAATAACATGCTAGAACTGAAGCTAAGGCATTTAAAATGTACTGCCGTAAGTCAGCCATCTCTGGTCCCTTACTCCTCTGATCCATCAGCAAAAGGATGAGGTAGAAAATGCTGTCTGATAATTTTCAGCACTTACAAAGCTTAAAACAATTTTTGCACACATCTCTTGAAAAACTGATTTCCAAATTGTACGTGCAGCACACATACAGTTAAACACACTATACTTTAAAGAGCAATGAATTAAAGGATATTTTGTCAGTGAGATTCAGCAATGCAAATCTAACCGCAAATATTTTACATAATTTGCAATGGAATAAAAAACTGCTAAAGTGAAACAAGCAACTTACATATTTGTTTGAGAAAGGCAATGATCCAGTTTAATATCTGCTTCCCTTTTCTTGTGTTATTTCTACATTTTTTTCTTTTTTCTTTAGTAATAATAACATATAGTAAAATACCATTAAATAAAATGCTACTGAAGCACAACTGCACAAACCAGACTGATGCCAAATACAAACAAAGGAAGAATAAATAAAACTCTTACATCAGGATCACATTCACTCATGGCCTCTCCTAGGTCAGAGTCAACGCCGCCTGTGTAAGTATGCTCAATCTTGGTCTTTGCCCCTATTTTGGGGGAGGGGATGTGTTGCACACACATATCCACAAAACCTACAACAAAGGTAAATGAAAAAGCAACACATCTTCGTTTAGGAAAGACAGAGATGGAAGTTTCTGCCTCTTTCTAACTTTCCATTGCATTATAGTCTCTTTCATGTCCAGAATACCTGCTACTTTTAATTGTATTATTTTCTTTTAAGCAGTAGCATCTGTTCTAGAACAGCAACCTAATCCTTTTCTTTATTTAGGCTGAAATTATATTGTAGAAACATGGAAGGTATCAGTTTAGAAAGATGTTTAGGAAGAGCTGGAGTGTAGGTATAAAATTCTAAAATTATCTAAGATATATATAACTGAGGATACATCTCATTTCATGCCAGTACGTTCCCTGTATGATTTTCTAATAAAATTCATCTTCAGATTCTTTGATTAGAAAAAACCTTCCTTACAGTGAATACTTTTATCCTTTCCCAATGATGAAATACTATTTTGTACAGCTGAGTGAATTTTTGGCATCTGACAATCTTTCCAAAGTAAAACTAAATTGTTTGTGTTCACCTGGGCATTGTCTCTTGTGAATGATTTTAAAATTAAAATATTTTATCTGTTGTAGTGTTGCATTTTAATGAATCATAAATATCATAAACATTCTAAACAGAAGAAATAAATCAATATTCATATTTAAAGAAATCAAAAATTAAGGTAGCCCGCTAAAATAGAAATACAGAGAATTCAATATATACAAGAGAAATAACACTGCAGCAATATACTGTATGTATAGAATTTCAACTTTAAAGAAACAATGGAATAGTTTTTCACTGCACTCCATGTTAGGTTAATCACTCTTTAGTGATTAGAATTTTAGCACTTGTATGGTTGCTTTTAATGTTCTAATTTGTGTGTTATTTTTAGTCTTTTAAAATATTTTGAAAACCATTGTATACTGAAAAGAGCCTAATAAATCTCCTAATATATAAACAAACATAAGCATAATATAAGCATAATGTTATTACAATGAGGCCCACTTTAATAACAATTCTTTTAATCTATAAAGGGTACGGTAATGAGCAGAGAACACACCTGACACATCCAGGATAATACACTTAAATTTTATAATACTTTAATGCTGCCATTTTTTTTTAAAAAAAAAGTTCAGGTTTATGTAGTCAAATTCATGTTATCCTAATAACTCTTGAGATTAGGCTGAGGGAAAGTGATTGGTCCAAATGCACTTAATGAGCTAAAAACATTGTGTACCATCAGGGATAGGCTTACATCCAAAACAAGTTGCCCTTCTTTCCCCAGAAAAAATAAAGTAGCTTACTTAGGAACATCTTTGCAGTAAAACAAGACTTGTTTCATTTCTCTTTATCCTGTTACTTTGAGCTTTCATTCATAGAATTTTATGTTAGATTGTCTCAAATGAAGGATGCTCTCTGTCAATTAGTTATGCTACACATGTTTAGCTATCCTTAGTTTGAGAAGATTTAGGGAGTTAGGAAAAGTATAATTATTTTTACCTGTGAATTCTCCAAAAAATTTCTTGCACACAAGCCTCAAGAGGGGGCGGATGTTTAATTTCAACTCTTCCTTGGTCAGGTGGATTCCCAATTCATCCAAAGTTCGAGGCAAAGTGGTATCTACATCTCCAACTACCTGTACAAAATGGATGTAGGACAATAAATGAAAGATGCAAGTAGTGAAGATTATATTCATTGGAAGTGACTATGTGATTTACACTGACAAGTACAATCCACACAATACAATGCTTCCCCCCTTCCTATTTCTGTCACTTTGCTTTCTAAGCCAAGGACCAATAAACAATTATAGACTGAAGGGATTCTGTTTTTTTCAGCAAACCTATTAATTTAGAGATGATAATTTATAAATAGTCCTCTAAGCTGTACCTGGTTACACCACTTAATGTTTAGATAATTCCTTTTTAATTCATAAGTAAAGCCCAAGCAAATAAACCCTGGACAAATTTTGAAAAACTGGCATTGAACCTCCCAGATTTGTTTGCTACATTGTAGGTTGTCTTTTCTGCTATTATAGAACAATTAACTGTTTGTTCTGTTAAAAAGCTTTGCATATCTCTTTCTGAACTGTTTTAATTCACTAGTTTATCTCTCACCATAGGAAGCAATATTAGTTTTTGAACTAAGGAAGAAAAACATTTTATTTTCTGAAGTTTATGCGAACAGATGTCAGATAAAGAATCCCAGAACTCAAAAGAGATTTTAGAAGTCTACTCTCTAGATATAAACAGACAACTGCTGACAGATGGCTGTCATATTGTTGCTTAAATACATGTAGCGAAGTAAAGTATATAACTGCTTGAGGCAAATACCCCAAATGTTTTATTCTTGGAAATGAAGGACAAGTTTCTTTTCTGCTCATCTTTCTTCTTGAAATGACATGACTCTCATATTGTAAAAATAGCTTACATTCAAAATATTCCCAAAGAAAAACATGAATACATTTTGCAGAGTTAAAAACATACCTGGGCCAGTATTTTATAAAGAGGCTCAAGAATAAATTCCACAAAGCTTCGCTGGGAACTACTTGTTGGCGCTTTTTTAGTGAATTTTCTCCTAGAACATACAAAAGTATACATAACTGAACATGTAAGACACTTAAAAATCCTATTCTAGTGTTGCACCAAGATCCTTATTAAACATTGTAGCTGTGTATCAAAGTAACTGGAAAACAAAACTCAAAAATGTTCCCCAACCATACTTTTATTTCTCCAACCAATCAGAGTAATAGTTACAATTTCATTCCCATCCCTCATGCATTGCTCTTGAACATCAGATGAGTGAAATTGGAGATTAGATGCCAGGTGGAATGCAACCACAGCTATCAAAATCTCTCCTGAAACGACTCAGGTTCTGAATAACTGAGAAAGCAATTTGATTTGCTTGTCAGAATAATAAGAAATGCATTTTATTCATATATATTCTTCAATAACTGTCTGGTTTGCCACAGCAACCAAACAGGACAGGTACAGACATCAACGGATAGTTATGACTGCAGAAAAAAACAATTGCAACCAGCCTGAATACTATTAAGGATCTGTATACTGCATGAACCAGAAAGAGGGTTGAGAAAATATCTACAGACCCCTCACATCTTTGACCTATTTCAACTTCTCCTCTCAGGATGCCACTAGAGCATTGCATGCCAAATTTTTTGGCAATTTTTCACTCTGCTGAAAATTTAATTCCCACAGCACTGTCTCATTTATCATCTTCTCTCATCTTTCCCATTATCTCCTCTTATTGGTTTCTTGCGATTTATTGTTTTGTAACTTATGATTAATAATTGTAACTATGATTATGACCTATGACTTTATGTCTATAGGTACACCGTAAACTTATGCATCAGAGATAAATTCCTTGTGCCCGTTCACACTTGGCCAATAAAGAATTCAATTCAGTTTTATTCTATTCTATTCATATTCCACCCCAATTCTTCATGGATTGCATTCACAGAAGAGAAAATCCCTTGCTCCCCTCTCACAGACCAAGATATCCATCCACCTTATTTACTCGCCATGTCAGTAAAAATACAACGAACTATCTCTTGCCAATTGTTTCTACCTTTTGGTGTTGTACCAATATGCCTAGGAACATTCTAGCCATGTCTTAAAGCAACTGGAAAGCAAAACTCAACAATGCCCCCATTTTATTCTCCAATTCAATCTTATCAGAAGAAATACACTCAATCATGTCCACTAAGGAGTGTTGATCCAGAAAAGAGCCCTTTTTGCTATAGCACCCAGCCTCTGGAGTGTCCTCCCCCCCCCCCCCCCCCCGCCAACTGTTCCTGTCCCCATTGGCTTTGAAGATGTGGTTTTGCACTCAAGTCTGGGGCCACAGCTTTGTAAACAGAACCCATTTCTTGGTTGTGTTGATCAATTTTTTTTTAAAAAAAATGAGCTTCTGTGTTTTATCTTTTGTTATATATGTTTTTTTTTTAAATTTTTAATATTGTTGATTGGGGACATATAAATCTAATAAAATCAATAGATAATAAAATAGTTTCTCCTTACGTCTTGGGGTTGAAATAGATATCTCCCCACAATCGCTTAGCAAACTCCTGGTAATTGATGTCTCCTGCAACAAGCAGAAAGAATTCAAATCTCATTTCAGTTCTAACAACCTGCCAATTTCCAAGTAGTTTTTTCTATGTTCCACTCTAATGTAATGAGAAAACGAAGCAGAACTTAACAAGGAGCTGCAATGAAAATGGAAGTGCTGTTGCTTGAGGAGGAAAATCCTGAGGACATTATAGAATCCAAATTCTTCTTTAATATCTATCTTGAAATTTTCCCCACAGTAAGCAATTGGGCAATATACAAAAAGTTGCAACCCTTCACGATGCATGTTACACAAGACCATATTTTGCTCTTCTGATCTTAATGAAGGAAGCAACCTGGGATTAGAAGCTTGTGTGCTGTCTGTATTTTAAACATCCCATTCAAATCCTTTTTACTAGTGGCCCTTCTCTGCCCATCACAGCTTGAGATACAGTATTACTAACTGAAGCTGAATATAGCACACATGTGTTATAACTCCAAATATAAGGCTGCTTACTGATCAGAAGTGGGAGATTGTGAAAATTGGGTGTGTTGTCTGGATAGCAAGTGACCAGTCCTTCAAGACCACTGAGACCATTTGCAACCACTCAGGTGATCCTGATGACAGATAAACCTCCAGGTGACCGTAACAATTTGCTAAAAGGATGCAAATAACCAGCTGTCTGCAAGGAGTATAAATCCTTCCATTCCCCACCAACCAGTCAGAGCTAAAGAAGCTTCTTGGATGAGAAGCAAAATGTTTTTTTTTTAAAAAAAAACCACCAGGAAATCCAGTTGCTTCTTGAAAAAAAAACACCTTTGGAACAACCATGACCTGAATGACTGAGAATCTCCACAGACATTGAATAAACTGAGAGGATGCTAAAATGATCTAATAAATAAGAAAAAAATAGAGAAGAGTGTGACAATGCAAGGGACCAATATACATAGCTGCAGAAGATCAGAAGGGCACAAGAGCTTGTATTTATATGTGCACATATCATGTAAATATATATCATGAATGTGTAATGGGTAAATTTCTTACAAGAATACTTAAATGAGCTTATGGCAGAGGCAAGATATAAGTTCTTATTCAATAATAATTATTTAACTCTTAGGTGTTCTTTCATGGGATGAATAGAGTTATGGGAAGAAAAGATAATAAAGAAAATCTGGAAAGGAAAATACTTCAAAAGTCAATTGGGAAATTTTAATATTCTATTATCTTGTAATCAACTGAACTCCAGTTTGAAAGATCTCCTAAATCTTTGCTCAGCAGCTTTTGGAACATTTTATTTTAAAAGATGGATAGATGGACAGCTAGTTAAAAGATTCTGAACAAAATCAAGATCCCCTACTAAATTTTAGTAGAGAGAGATGAACCTCTGAGAACACATTGCTCACTAAGCGATGAACAGAATATCAACACCATTTCTCAGGGAGCATCATTATGAAGAACATAGTAGGCCACAAACTTTAAAATCTACATGTGCTAAACTTTATGACTATGAAAAAGTATACAAGGATCATTTATTAATTTAAGTGAAGTTTTCCTTAGGAATTATGATTGGAACAACAGGCAAACCAGATTCCTATTTCTACTACTTTCACAGCTCTATTATCTATTAAAATTTGATGTTTAAGGAAGTCTGATATTCCGAATTGATAGCTGTATTGAGGCAGTGGAATTCAAGTGTATCTATTATACAGCTCTATTATCTATTATCAGTGGAATGCTTCTACTGCTGGCAGTGTCATGTAACATTTGCAATTGGTAAATCTAAATGCATATAGAAATCTATACATCAGCACTAAAAAAATAAAATATAACAAACTAACATTTGCATGAAGAACATCTGGATTTTGCAGTTGGATTAGCCTTTTAGATAAGAGGATGTCTTAACATAGTTGACATTGTTATTTTGTACAACACTTACCATACATGTCAGCGTATATCTTGGCAAAGGAACCCAGTGTGAAACAAATGCTATACTGAGAGCTGGCAAAACAAACATTGCCCAAAAGAGGTGAAAGGATCAGGTTCTCATCTGTGGAATACATGCTGAAAACAAGAAAATATAGTATCAAACAACTTCATCAAGAGAAACAGTAAGTTCACAAGATAAATATGAATCCACTAAAGCTTTTGCCAAAAGCATTTTGTTTTGAATTAATATCAAATTGCTAACTAAAATTTTTATTCAATGAATTTGAGATGTAAAAGCATGTTTATAGCAATAATGAGCATAAGATAAATTACATTCTAGGTGTAATTTCAAAATCATTTTGTCAAAAAAAAAAACTCCCAAATATTTTAAAATAGAATCTTCCTAAATTCAACATTTTAAAAAATTGATGTTTAAGGAAGTCTGATATTCTGAATTGATAGCTGTATTAAATGTTGAGGCAGTGGAATTCAAGTGTATCTATTATAAGCAGTCTCATTTTTATACCTGATTAAGCCGTTGACTTCATCTACTATGTGCCGCAACTTATAATAGGCATCAGTAGGTGGCAGCTTCAGTTCTAATATCAGTCGGTCAATTTTGTTAATACACACTGTCACTGCCAATCTTTCCTGTACTGCATGCTTGATTAACCGCTCAGTGTTTAGCATGACCTAAAGGAAGACATAATTGGTAAGGGCATCAGGTAGGGCTTGCAGAATAAAACAGTGAACCCTATCTGGTGGAGGAGCAGCTTACAAAACAAGTATGCTCAACTATAAGCTTGCCTGATTGATCTATGCATATATCAAACTAATATAAATATTAAAATAAAAATGTTTATTGCAAAAGTGCCTTTTCACAAAATAAATCTCTATATCACATAAAATGTCAACTAGGTGTTAATTGTAGTGCTCATTTTATAGTACTGACACCTAAGCCTATGCAAACATAGAGAAAAAAGTCAGAAAGGATGCCATTACAAAAAAAAAAAAAACACCTAAAAAGCTATTTGCATAACCTTTTCTATTTCTGCACTGGACAATCTTTACCATTGGGTAAAACCTCATGCTTAACAGATTGAGCCATCAATTCAAATGACTCAAAAGGAAGAGGAGAAAGACACATGTAGTCTGTAGTCTTTCCTTGAAATTGTGATAATGAAGATTGTAGAAACCATATTGAGGCTCAAATGCCAGATTGCTTAAAAAATTCCATGTAAAATTTAATAACATAAATGTTTCCAGCATTTCTTGCATCAGGGCTCTCTTAGTGTCTTAGTCATTTTTTCATAGTGCCTTAGGTCAAAATTGTGAACTACTACATGTCAAGCTGAAGGTTTACAATCCTGTGGCATCTTATGAGTTCACTGCAGTGCCCAGTGCACTGTGATACAGTTTGGGAACTGTGAACGTAACATATTTCTTTACCTGATCTGAATAGATATTTGAAACAATAACTTTCCTCCTCTTTTTCATTTTGTATTTAGGCTGGAAACATCCTTCTTTCAGAATTTGGGGGGGGGGGTCGCTATTCTTCCTTTCTGTCTAGACAATATGTGTACAGGTAGTCCTCAACTTACAATAGTTAATTTACAACATCAAAGTTCAAAGTTACAACATCATTGAAAACAGTGACTTATGACCACTTTTCATATCTACAACCATTATAGCATTCCCATGGTCATGTGATCAGTGATCAAAATTCAGGTGCTTGACATCTGATTCATACTTATGACAATGTCCCAGGGTCATGTGATCATGTTTCTGACCTTCTGACAAGCAAAATCAACGAGAAAGCCAGATTCGCTTAACTTAACATGTTACTAACTTAACAACTGCAGCAAAAAAGATAACAAAATGGGGGCAAAACTCACTTAACAAATGACCTACTTAGCAACAAAAACAATGGGCTCAATTGAGGTTGTAAGTTGAAGACTACCTGTACTTGTTTATCTGCAATACTGAGTCTTTTTCCAGTGGGGAAAAAAAAAAACCAGCCTAAGAGAACACACACACTCACCCCCTCAGCTGCATCAATAAAAAGTACCACACCATCAGAAATACGAAGACCTGCTGTGACCTCATCAGAGAAGTTTACATGACCTTTAAGAATTAAAAAAAAACAAAAAACACAAATAAAAAATGACAAATCAGTATATTTTTCCCCTTAGGAATTAAGATTAATTAGAACATGAGAAATCAGTCTATTGTGCTTCAAGCATTTGAACATTACAAGTCAAAGGCATTTTTTACATCCAATGGGGCAATAGAGAATATTGCCGATATCAAAATATTCTTAAAAAGTATTTGCTGATTTTCAGTGTCCGGATTTCTTGTTTCCATGAATCAGTAAATCTTGAAAAGGACTCGGCTTGAACTTGTAGAAAGAAAATTTGTAGCTCTGTGATAGAATGCCTGCAGACTTTATATAATATGAGTAAAATATAGAATATAACCAATAATATCCCTAAGTTGGCTTAGGGAAAAAGAAACTAGCCTTTAAAAAATGCCACTATTTTAAGGAATCAATCCTTAAAATTAATGCAAGCCTCAAAGTATTAGCACCATTTTCTTTATGCTGGCCCGAAAGCCTGAAAAATTATCACATTGTACGATCATGTGAAATCCAAACATTTGTTCTAAATCAATTTTAAAAGATGTTAAAATTTTAACATCTATATGAAGCTACTAAGTGACATCATCCAATAGCCTGATGAAGTATCATCAATATGTTGATGGCATCCAATTTTATATTGCCACCAAGCGGTATGGGAGACTATCAACGTCCTGTCCCAGTGCTTGGAGTCTTAAAGGATCTGGAGGGGACTAAAAGTTGAACTTTAATTAGCTGGATTTACTAGTTTATATAAAGAGGTTCTCTCTCAATGCCAATGTATCTCTGGATGGGTAGGCATTACCCTAGCCTAGAAATATCAAGTCCATTTGAGGAGGATTGGCAGGAGATGGAGTCAAAAGAAGAATCAACTTAGAATCTCTATATAGCAATACAATATAGCAGTACTAATGTTAGTTGAGTAGTCTTCTGCATAGACATGGCTAATAATAAATTACTTTTAATACAGGTTTAATTGGAACTTCACGTTTGGTCCTGATCTTTTGTTCCTGATATTCGTCATTTGGTGGGCCTCCTGGACTTATTACCTATACTAGGACAGCCGCTGGAGACCATAGCTATGGAGGCCTTTACCTGGCTTTGGATAGTGCAAAAGCAGTGAACCCATTTGAGGATCTAGTCATTACTATCTGATTGAAGTACTGCAATGTGCATTACATGGGATTGCCCTTGGAAAAAAATTTGGAATCTGCAACTGGTTCAGCAGGCAACAGTCTGCATTCTTATAAATACCTGACACTGGCGCTTTGTAACACAAATTCTGCAACTGATTATGTTTCTGAGTGTAAATTAATATGCTGATATTGCCCTATAAAGACATTTAAGGCATGCCCTAGCTCTGTATATCTACAGGACTGCCTTCTCCCAATTGTATCGGCCAAGCCTTGCAGATCTTGCAGGAAACAGTGAAGAATGCCAATACTAACAACACTACTTTTTTGTAACAGCAATTTTTGTAATTGCTTTGGTCTGGCCTCCTACTAGATATCGATCTCACCTTCTTCTTAATATCAATTTTAGAAAACAATTAAAAATCAAATTATTTCAGAAAACATTTTCACAATCTTGTCAATTTAATTTCTTGAGCTACTTATAACACTGTACTCATTTATTTATTGTAATTTATGTGTTTTCTATACAGATGTCAATTGTCATTTCACTGTATTCACTATAGCCCACTAAGACTTGTTTGAACATGGCTGATAGGAAACCAGTAATTAAATAAATAAATACAGAACTTCAAGAGATGCAGATGTCAAGAACTGCATGTCATTAAGTATAAAAAATTGAGGTTGTCGTTTGCCTTATACAAATGTACCATTTTAAGATTCTCTTTTTAAATATAGTAGGGTAAAAACTTATTAGGCCAAATTTATGCTGTTTTCTAGGTCTCGATGATTCAACTTACCAGGTGTATCCATGATATTGAAGAGAAATGATTTGCCCTTGGTGTCAGGGAGGACAATGGTCACTGGGGTGCTTTTAATCCCAACACCCCTCTGAAATAAAAACAAGATCATGATAGGGGTGAAAATAACTCTTTAATCTGAAACTGAGGATCACAAATTTGGGACAGATGGAAGGAACCAGCACAATTCTATACATTTTTAGGAATACGGCACTGGACATAAAATTAGATATCTGTTGTATAATATTTGACAACATGAAAACCCTTGAGCACCAAGGTAGATAATATTATGAGAACTTGGAACCTTTCTTTTATATTTTGTATTACAGATAAGAATGACAACAAAACTCTCAGAATTGCCTTATATTTAACCATTCCAGGTCAGATCAGGTTCCCTTTTCCTAAGAAAAACCAACATAAAAGTAAAGAAAAGAACAATCAAAATAATGTTGAATTATAGCATCTTCCTTCCTGGAAAAGCTAAACATTTTAAATTTTTAAATTTAAGGAAAAATGGAAAGCAGAAGAGAAAAACATGTATACATGGAAAGGGAGAAAAGGAAGATGTTTACTTGTAGAACTCATTATCAGGAGGTTCTGTTGAGATAAATGGAACTGCTTCCTTATGCAATATTTACATTAAAAAAATATTAAATGTGGATTGGGATAGGGAACTTGAAGAATATTGCTGAAGCAAAATTTCCAACAGCCTTTGTTTGCATAGCTATACCAGCTAGGATTATTGGGAATTATATTCTAATAACAACTGGAGACCTACTTGTTCCCTATTCCATAAATTAAGTTTTAAGATTTAACAGCAGTAAGGGTTTTTCTAAAGTTACAGGGATAACCCGATAGGTCATTACAAAAGAAATTTTGAATAAAACTGACATCCTGTCTGAGATAACAGGCTCTTTTTTTTATATGTGCCAGAATTGAAATAAAACTTACTGTTGTCTGGGTATATAGTTTTTAATACCTCAAAACATAGTAGGAATATAATGAAACAGTTAAAGACACTATGCAAGATGAAAAGAATCGTGGATACAAAACTCCCCAAAGGCCATAATCAGTATGTATACCTAAATATACTTACCTCTTGCTCAGTGAATAGAATGTCTGTATAGCAAAGCTGAGAAAAAACAGAAATAGCATCATGAGACTAGATTAACTGAGGCAGAATAATTTTATCCAGACATCTTAGTAGTAATGAATATTGCTTCCTTTACATTTGTTTTTCCAATCTATCTTTAATAAGCCACATAAGTCTCAGCTACCTCTGTTGTTATTTTTTTATTATTATTCTTTAGATTTAGAATAGAATAGAATGAGTTGGAAGGGATCTTGGAGGTTTTTTAGTCCAGAGGTCTCCAACTGGCAGGCCGCAGGCTACTGGTGATCCGCAAGAAAATTCTGGTGAACCATGAGAAATTTTTTGCATTTCTTATATTGCACTAAAAAAATCAGGGCTCTTCAAACTACAGTTCCTGGGCCTGATATGGTCCATGGAAGCAATTAATTTGCTTTACTTTGCTGAGTGTTAACACGAGGCTGTGCCGCCCGCATCACCCCGCCCACCTGCTAGCTCCCACACTTGGGCCAAGCACAAACCTTATCTTGAGTAGAGTGGTGCGAGCCATGCGAGCTGGAACTGGAAAGTAAGAACAACAGCGGGGGAGAGAAATCCTCCCCGGACTCGCACCACTCAGCCCAACAGTTGCCTGGGGTGGGGGGAGCTCAGCTGCCTTTCGGGCCTGCCTCTTGGCTTCTACGAAGCTTTCTTGCCTCTCGAGAAGCGTTCACTAAAGCGGTGCGGGAAACTTCTCCCTAGATTTGCCATGCATTGCAGCTAAATCAGCTCCCTTCAAATTCACCTCTTGAAGAGCACTCACTAAAGTGGTATGGGAAACTTTGGCTGGGCTCCTCGAGAGACAAGACTGACTTCGGGTGCTTCCCGGATACTGGAAAGAAGCAGCCTGAGTCACTTTCGGCTCTCGAGGAACCTGGCCAAAGTTTCCCGCATCGCTTTAGCAAGCGCTCGAGAGGCGAGTTTGAAAGGGGCTGATTTAGCTGCAATGCACAGCAAAGCCAGGGAGAAGTTTATGATTTTGTTATAATTAAATAAGCATTTATAATTTTGTTATATTAAATAGGTGCATTTCATATTAATAAAATTGAAGTTCTCATCATTATTTTACAAATGTATTTATCTTTTTAAAAAAATTCATATTGATGGTCTGTGGGATTTAAAATTATGAATTTGGAGTCCTTGAGATCCAAGAGGTTGGGGACCTCTGTTCTAGTCCAACCCCCTGCTTTTCCTCCAAGAGCTTGAAACAGTTTATATGTGGCTCATGTTTTATCTCATTCTAACAGTCTTCTAAACCTCTGCTGTATGAGAGAGAAGGGACCAAAACGACCATTGAATTTCAAGGCAGAGGATAAACCTGAACTTGTGACTCCTGGCACAAAAATCCCAAGAAAACTATCTGGATTATAATGGATTATGTAATTGGAAGACCAATCACTTTTATATGCTTATAGTACCATATATCTACTTCCCATTAAAAAATGAAACAGCATTATGGAACTTACATCCTGGTCGTATCGCTTCCTGATCTCAGGATGTGTCTGTTCGATCAGGCAATCCACAAAACAAGTCTAAAGGCATTAGAAAAGAAAAAAGAAATAATGCACAAATTAGTTAAGATACACAGTCTAAGAAATATAAAGATGTGGTTCTTTTAGCTCTTTTTACAATTAGAAAAAAGATGGCTCATGTTCTGAGATAAGAACTAAATAACATGGGAGTGGGGGGTGTTAGAAAAGTCAAGTTGTTATTGGGACTATCATTTTCAACTTTCTGTCTGTTTCTCTCTCTCACAGACACATACTCTTTTCCACATATTTCAGAGGTATATTATACATTAAAACCTATTAAAATCTCTTCAGATTTTTCTATTTAAACATACTGTGTATGCTACTAATGTTAAATCCTAGAATTATAAGAGATAGAAGGAGGTATTTAGACCATCAAGTTCAACAGTAGAAGAGGCCAGTTTGAAGAATCTTTATTGGTCCATCTGACTAATAAAAAGGAGCTTTTTCTTAGTATATAGTTCCTGTTTTTACTAAAAAAATGTTCAAAATATTCAAAATGTTTTGAAAAGCACCATTAAATATTTATTACATTATTCAAAAACATATTCAGTTAAAATTAATTTAAAACTTGAGACACCAGATTTAACTCTATGATTAATAAAGTTTAGAATAATTTCACAGATTCTTTATTATCACATTTATTCATTTATTAAATAAACAAGCCATCCCTATGAATTTTAATTGATGCTCGCCTTGCCATGGTGTAGGTGTCCACAAAGTGTAACATTCCGGATCAGTTCTGAGTTGTCCATCAAATCTGCAAGAAAACTACGAGAAAGAGATCAAAGAGAGGAAAAAGCTGTTAGTGATGATCACTGCCAAGGAAAATTTCCTTGCAGATGCATTGGTCTCCCACTTTATCCTTGCCAGAAATGGAAATCATTACAGCCTTATCAGTTTTTGAGAATCTATACTTTGCAGTTATGTTTGAATAACTTAAATGAATCTCCCAATACCAGAGTGATAAGGATATATTTTACCAAAATCTCTTCACAAAGTGGAAAAGTTATCTTATTAAAATGTACACAAGAAGATTATTGACTTATTGAACTGAGATGGGAAGAGAACAAGATGAGCAGCTGTATATTTTCTATATCGATATAAATTAAAGTTCAGTGAAATTTATTTGTCTCCAATATTTGTAACTTATAATTCATGTTGATAACATTCTGCATTTCCTCATCTTTCACATTACTGGCCTCTTGCTGTAAACACAGAGAATAGGGAATAAAAATTACTGTAGTGCTGATTGTAACTTCTGCAGCTAAGTTCTGAGATAAATAGGAAATAATTACTATATTTTTCGGACTACAAGATGCATTTCCCCCCCAAAAAAGTGGGTGGAAATGTCTGTGTGTCTTATAGAGCGAATACATGCCTGTTTTTGGCCTTCCAAACCCTCTGTGGGTCCCGTTTTTGCCTTCCCCGGTGTCCAGAAGCACTCAGCAAGCCAAAAATGGGCCTGGAGGCCTCCACGGGTCCTGGGGCCATTATTGCCTTGCAGAGTGCTTCTAGACGCCAGGAAGGGCAAAAATGGGACCCATAGAGGGTTTGGGAGGCCAAAAACAGGCCCGTTTTTGGCCTGCAGAGTGCTTCTGGATGTGTAGAGGCAAAAAACTATTTTTTTTCCTCCTCTAAACTTCGGTGCATCTTAGAGTCTGGTGCATCTCATTGTCCGAAAAATATGGTAGCTTATGACAAAGAACTGCTGAGTGGTAAATGAAAATGAGTATAATACATTTTCATTTACCACTCAGCAGTTCTTTGTCATAAGCTACTTATGGGCTGACCATAATCCCATTCAAATTAAATGGAAAGTAAAGAGAAAAATTGGAAGATGGACATTTAACAATACCATACTAAGAGATAAAGAATATATTAAAATGATAAAGAAAGAATTGAACGTATTTTTTAAAATAAACAAAAGAGAACATACCTCCCTACAGAATCTTTGGGATACAACCAAAGCCTATGTGAGAGGTCTAACTATTGCTTACAATATTAAAAAGAACAAAGAAAAAAGACAGCAACAAAACGTATGGAGGGACAAACTGAAAGATTTGGAAACAAGTAGACAAAAAGGACCCGAACAATTCAAACATTAAGAAATAGGTCTGGTAAAACATAAGATAAATATAAATGTACAGGAAGATCTGGCCCGAAAAACTAAATTATCAAAACAAAATTATTTTGAAAATGCAAATAAACCGGGGAGGTGGTTAGCCCATAAAATTAAAAAAGAACAAGAAAAGAGAACGATTGTAGCTCTCCAAGATCAGGAAGGGAAATTATGCACGCAGACCCAAGAAAAGAAAGAAATTGCTAAGGAGTTTTTTATGAAATTGTATAAACAGGAAGAAATACCAGAAGAATCTATTGATCGATATTTGAATGAACTTACCCGAAGTTACTGAAGAGAAACAAAATTTGAATAATAAAATATCTATAGAAGAAATTAGGAAGGCAATCGGAACACAAGAAGCAAACAAGACCCCTGGCCCAGATGGAATTCCTTCGAAATTCTATAAGGAATTCCAAGAAACAATAGAGGAGATATTGGTGGACTTATACAATGAAGCCTTGAAGAATGCTAACATGCCTAAATCATGGATGGAAGCATATATTACCCTTATTTATAAAGAACAATCAGACCCACAAAAAATTCAAAACTATAGACCAATATCACTTTTAAATGTAGATTACAAAATAATGGCCACAATATTGGCGGAAAGATTAAAGAGAGTATTAAGTAGAATTATCCACACTGATCAGAATGGCTTCCTCCCCCATAGGCAAATAAAAAAAATACAAGAACCATTATGGATATATTAGAATATTATGAAGTATACTTAACCAAGACAATGGCATTGATATTTTTAGACGCCCAGAAGGCATTTGACAACCTGAATTGGAACTTTCTTATTAAACAACTGATAGGCATGAAATTTGGTGAAAATTTTATAGGATTCATTAAGACAATTTATAACATGCAAACTGCACAAATATTAATAAATGGGGAAAATACAGGTACCATAAAGATAAATAAAGGAGTAAGACAAGGCTACCCCCTAGCTCCTCTACTGTATACTGGCAAAAGAGACTCTTTTAGTACAAATTAGGCAAAACCAAGAGATTACAGGACTAAAAATTAAAAAAGAGGAATATAAACTCCAGGCATTCGCAGATGATATGGGATTTACATTAGAAGAACCCTTAGAAGCGAGCCCTATACTACTAAGAGAAATAGAAGAATACGGAAAGGTAGCAGGGTTAAAAATTAACAAAGAAAAAACAAAAGTGTTAACAAAAAACTGTACAAAGGAGCAGAAGGAAGAACTAGCAAATAAATTAGGTATGCAGGTGGTAAATTAAGTAAAATACCTAGGGATCTGGTTGACTGCTAGATGTTCGTCGATTAAAAAAGATAACCATGATAAGTTAATAACGCAAATAGTTAAAGATTTAGATAATTGGGTCAAATTGCAGTTATTGCTATTGGGACGTATTTCGATAGTAAAAATGAATATTTTGCCAAAACTGTTGTTCTTGTTTCAAACAGTGCCAGTCAAGTTGGAAAATATTTTTTTTGTAGAATTAAACAAATGTATATCTAAATTTATATGGCAGAGGAAAAAACCCAGAGTGAAATTTAAATTATTACAGGATGCCAAGAAAAAAGGAGGATTTGGCCTTCCAGATTTTGAATTATATTATGATGCCACTATAGTAAACTGGCTTAAGGATTGGGTTAAATTAGAAAATAGAAGGTTATTAGTAAAAGAGGATTTTGATCTCCAACTTGGCTGGCACGCCTTCATGTGGGATGGAAAATCTAAACAACATTCATATTTCCAAAGGCACCATGTAAGAAACCTATTGTTTAATATCTGGGGAAAGATTAAAAAAAAAAACCATTACCCAAAGGTTCCATTGTGGATATCTACACTAGAAGCAGTTACACATCCAAATGTATTGGATTATGAAAATATTGTTAGGTATAAAGATTTATTATATGACACTGGAGAGCTTAAATATAGGAAGCAAATACAAATTCAAGGAAAAGAGATAGCATGGTGGCTCTTTGCACAAATACAAACCCATTATAAAAAAGATAGAGAACAATTTGGCTTTAATATGACTCCACAAGAATTAGATAAAATATGGCTAGGAGAGGAAAAGAAAACAATTAGTAAAACATATAAATATCTTTTGGACTACAAATTAAAAGAAGAAAGTTACAGAATTTATGATAATTTGGGCTAAAAACGTGGGTCATAGTATTGAATTAGATAAGTGGGAACACATTTGGCAAACAAATTGCAAATTAACTATGGCAGTCTCGTATAAAGAAAACTTATATAAAATGGTTCATCGCTGGCACCTACTTCCTGCGAGACTGGCTAAGATATTCCCCCACCCAATTGTTGGAAATGTAACTACGCACAAGGAACATATTTTCATATGTGGTGGACTTGCCCATGTGCTCAGAAATTTTGGAGAAATATTAGAAATTGGATTTTAAATATAACAAAACAGAATTTAAAACTTGAACCCGAAAACTTTTTGCTAAGTATGATAGATTCAAACACAGAGAAAAAATATCAATATTTAATTTTGCATATCATAACTGCGGCTAGAATAACCTACGCACAAAACTGCAAACTGTCTTCCATTCCTTCAGAGGATATGGTAATTAAAAAAAATACATGAATGCGCCGAGATGGATAGCCTAACCAAAGAGTTCAATAAACAAGATAGTGACTACTATGAAATATGGAACATTTGGTATGAGTGGTTAAAGAAAAGGTAATATTTGATATTTGGATAAGTTATGGAAATGACAGAAGACATGCATTTAATCACAAACTATATCGAGAAATTAAAACATTAAAAGAACGAAGGAGTTATGGTAACAAGGCAGATCACGTCAATGATAAAGATAAAGAAAAAAAAATTAACCATTGCTCAATATATGCTGTAAAATCTATGTGTGTGTGTGTGTGTGTGTGTGTGTGTGTGTGTGTGTATTTTGATTTGTCTGTTTTAAATGTATGTCAAATAAATGTTTTTTCTAGAATAAAATTAATAAAAATTAAAAAAGAAAATTAGTATAATACAAATGTATGACTGCAAGGGTGATTACATAAAAATAGATTAAGGGTTTGATGCTTAGAAGAGTAGTGCAGAAACACAAGCGTTATAATATGAGCTAAGGCATCTTTAATCAAACTTGCACATTTCATATAAGTTGGACTACATATTTCAGACCATAATACAAATTAAGATGAATACTTAACAACTAAAAGTTTTAGTGGCCAATTTGTGAAGAAGTTATGAAAGAAAAGAACACAGAGAAGCAAAAACAGTAAAAAGGTTTGGAGGGAAAAGAAGAGGAAAAACCAATAAATCCAAAGTTCTACTCACTCCATTTCATATACAGTAACTGGCAATGTTTGCTCCATCAGGGAAAATTTCTTGGTCTTCACTGGTTTAATAATAGGTTCTGTAGGAAAAGAAAGCATTGAAATAATAATGTCTAACAGGAAAACAAGGCATTTCTAAATCAGTGATCAATGGGAACAGATTTAAAAATACATGTCACAAATCTTAAACTGAATTCCATGGATTTCTAATTTATGCATGACAAGTAAAAAGAGATTTGTTTATTTTTGTTTAAAAAGAGGCTGGGAATATTTCCCAAGTATCAAACAGTGAATGTAACTAATAGCACATGAGACAGAATATACTAGTCTTAGTTCTCACTGATGTATAACATCTGGCCTAAAATACAGCATGGCAAATCAGTGTCTAAAAGAATAAATATAAAACAGATCTCCTCATAAGGGTTAATACAATAACCTTTCTCCATGATATCTAGTTTTATATATGGTAGTTTCATACACTTTTTTAGCCCAGGAAAATTTATCTAGCAGCTCTATTTATATCTCTTTAGCATCAGTAGATTTTTTAAATTATATTTTTCTTTTAAAAAACTCAGTGTATTTTAACATTCCTTGAAGAAACAAAAGTTGTTCTTTTATATCAGTTCTTTTTAAAATTGAAATTGAGCTATTTTTGAGATATGAAGATACAGATACAGTAAATTAAATATACAGTAAATGAAATATATCAGTGGCAATTAGGCAGTTCCTATCAGTAGATTTAACATTTAACAGAATGATTAGACCTATCTTATTTTCTAGCCCTGAAAGATGGTATGTGCTAAATATCTGATAATACACTCTACAAATATTTTTCTGGGACTGCATTGTAGATACATTTCAAATAGGAAAGTATCTTTATTTACCAGATATGCTGTCTATCTTTTCTATCCTGGTTACTGTCTGATCATGTTAATACAATTTTCCCTAAACTTAATTTTAAGATACGTGGACTTCAACTCCCAGGATTCCCTCAGCCAACCATGTTAATTGGAACAGCCTTTCCCAACCTTTTGACAATGGGATATGAAACGTTACAACTGTGAGAACCATTCTGGGGTAGTGGCTAAAGTGCTGAGCTAGAAACCGAGAGACTATATGTTGTCACAGGCATGAAGCCATTGGTGACTTTGCACTAGTCACTCTTTTTTAGCTGAACAAAATTCACTGGAAAAATAGTAAGTAGCAGCATTAGGCATATATGCTATCTTGACCTGATCAAAAATAACACTAATAAATAAGTAAAATATTATTATTCCCAGGCAAGCCAATTGGATTTACAGCAACTCTACAGTAATACAATAAAACGAAGCTAAGATTTCGAGAATAGTATAGCTGTTGCAAGTTGTGCAACAGAGTCCTTCCATTTAAATTTCTCACCTGTAAGAGGCTGTGTGTCTTCTTCCTGCACTATAGTTTCTACTTCAGGACCATATACTTCCTCAGCTGTTGGATAATATTTTTTATCCTCATGCAACACTACATCCATCCCAGGGTGGTCTTCATCATGGTCTCCCATATCATCGTCGTCGTCGTCATCATCAGGCTGAAACCAAAATAAATTGTTCTCAGCCAACTGTTAGTAATAGAGTTCTACTTACAGAATTTAGGGCTGGTATCTATATTCAGTTATAACTTGCAAACATATGTGCATATTGGATAGTTTGTAAAATGCTGCCAAACAAGGAAGTACTTTCTCAGCGGTATGTAGCAGCCTCTCTTAAAATTAAGGCTCACACTGCTTTCAAGAGCAAGATTAACATCTTAATCTTTAATCTGTTCATTATAGAAACTGAATTACAGAAGCATGTAAAAAACTAAAGAATGAATATTGAGCATGAATATTGTTTGTAGCAGAAGCATGAAATCAGTACCTCATCAAGATCTTTTGATTCACGACCCATTTCATCATCATCATCATCAGAATCAAGCTCTGGACCAATATAATTTCCAAATTCATCATACAGGTCTGTATCCATGTTGCTGGGTCTTGAATATAAAAATAAATAATTAAAATAGAGCTAGTTTGTATTCTGAAAGTATCACTTTAATATTTGATTGCTTTGCTAGTTATTTAATGTGGCTTACTCTTGCTTGCAAGATTCATATTGGGATACTTTTCAATGTATTATCTTAACACCTTAGTTTTATTACAAACTTGATACTTTATCAGCATTTAATACTATTCTAAATAGCTTATTCCTTGTTTTAGTTTCACATTTTATTTTCAGTTTCACATTTTATTTTCAGTTTCACAGCTATGAGCTACCAATTCATTAGTTTTCTGCCAGTATTAATCCAAGAGCTGTTTTTTATTCATCAACCTTCCACTATTCTCCCTAGTTTTAATTATCAGGTATAACTTCTCCAACTCCTTTTTAGCCACAGTTGTCTTCATTTCACAGCATTCACCTTATCTAGAATAAGAACAATTATTCTTACAAAATTCATTGTTCTAATTCAACAGCAACTTTTTCAGAATTGCCAGTCACAACTTCCAGTTTTAGAATATGATAGCTTTCTGTTACAGGTTAAAAAAAAGAAAAAGCAACAAAAACAGCACCTTATCAGAAATGCACTTTGTAGTTGTAGCTTTATTTTCCACAAACCTAGTCTATCTGAATGCAAGCATATGGTTTTACTGTTGAGTGCTTTTTGCTTCACAGGAAGATTATGTATATACTAGCTCCATACCCGTGCTTCACTATGAAACTATGTGGATGGGCTTAGTTTTGGGGGAGGAAAATAAGGGAGAAAAAATTCTGCCTCTGCCTACCAGCATCCATCGGTATTCATCTGGTCCTGTCAGTGTGTGAGAGTTGAGGGCTGTTCGGAAAGTGAAACAGTATTTGCTGTGTGAGCAAGGAGATAGCAAGGAGCCTGGGCATGGCTTAGCTCAACTGTTCTGTACTAAAGCTGCTTGCTGCTGCGAAACTAAAACTGAAACTCCTCTCCTCTGCTTGTGTTTTGCATTTGGAACAGATTTCTTTTCAGGTGGGGAGGGGGAGTGGAATTCCTTAGCATCAGACCTTGTTAATAATAATATACAAAATACTAATGCTCTGATGGTCATTTCGAAAAATCCTTTCTTAGTGAGCACCTAGAAGTCAAGAGGAACATATGTGCCAAATTTCAAGTTTGTAGGCTTTATGGTTCTGGATATTTTGTGATGATGCGTGAGTGGTATTTCGCTTATATATAGATTAATCTCTTTCATACTGCAATTAATGAAGACAGGCATGTATATGTTTCAATAAAATATTGTAAAAGACGTGTAGACACTTATTCTCTACAATTTGAAAGCGCAAAATCTTTTTAAAATGCCTAAATCTATCTTCCCATTAGCTTCCATGGGTAGGGTTCTCCCAAATATCTACCCGTTGCCATATCCGTTCATTCGAATTCCAGCACGGTCTGTATAAAGCGCGTATTTTAAGTCTACTGAGAGATATTATGCAATCTAACGGCCGTTTATTTGGTTTTAAAAATAAGCATTTTTTAAAAAAAATATCGTAAGGCTTTATAAGAAATAGCAACGCACGCGTGCACTTTACCTTTTTTTTGTTCTCCTTCTCAAGAAGCGCGCGTTGCTCGAGACGTTTCCCTTGCCGGCGCACGACGCGACGGTGGCAAGAAAAGTCCCTTCAATTTCCTCCGGATAAAGTTGTCCATTTAGCAGCCTGATTTATTTTCCACATTTTTGCCCTCTTTTTGATGCTGGAGAGTGAGAGAGATTTAGAGATGCGATTTCCATTCTTTTCAGGCCGTTTCAGCAAAATTTGAAATTTTTCATAAGCATTGATTGTGATCAGGCGTTTATTATAGACTGCCCCGATCGCTATAGATCCACCTCTCCATCTCGTTTCCATAATTGCTTTGGAAACCGAACCGACGCTTAATTGCTTTTGAAAGTGGAGGCTTAGGTGGGGGAAAAAAATCGAACTACGTTCCCACAAACATAGAAAAATCTTTCATTCCTTCTATTTGGTAACGGTCAGGTTGGCGAGATAAATCGAGAACGGTATTTGGGGTAGTGGGTATGCATGGGATAGTAAAATAAAACATAAATCTGTAGAATCCGTCGCCACTGAATGTGGAGTGGCCAAAAGATTTATTAATTCGGTCTGACGTGTTTACTGTTTTATGGGAAAGTTTCTGATTATGTTCTTGCCTACTTAGTATTTTATAGTGAAGTACTTCAATAGCAAATTCCTTATATGTCAGAATCTACTTGCAAGGATGTAGTGGTTGAATTGACTCTTAAAATTATATCTTTCAGTCTATTTTTACTAATTTTGCTGAATAAATTCATGAAACACAGAATAACGAGGATGGAGTTGTATTACATACATTAGACCAAAGGTCTCCAAACTTGGCAACTTTAAGACTTGTGGACTTCAACTCCCAGTTGAAGGGAGTTGAAGTCCACAAGTCTTAAAATTGCCAAGTTTGGAGACCGCTGTATTAGAGAAAATAAAATGCAATCACTGCAACATTTTATTTCATTTATTTTCACATCACCATGTTGGAGAATGATTCTTTTCACAGTTAGAAAAACAGTAGCAAATCAACAACAAAACCCCAGAATGGAGCCAGTTTTGAAAATCTGAACAGCCAGCAGGCATCAGAAGAATTTCATGCTAAACAATGAAGAGGATTGTTCAGTATTGATTTAGCACATGATCCCATTATAGCTTATTCACCAAATATTGATTTAACGACATGATTGACTTGGATGGCTGACTCCAGATACTGGAGTTTATGGTTATGATCTAAAAATGAAGTACCAATAGCTCAGGGCAAGGGTTTTGTTCTGTTTACTGCTATATTTGTAAATAAAATGAGTATTACAAAGTTTTTGGTACTCTATATTAATGAAAACTGAAACATTTTAACATTGGGAAAATTGGACAAAATGTGTGTTTGGGATAGTCATAAGAAGCTGATCGTTTTTTATTATACAATTATTTGAGAGAAAAACCTACTTTTTCAAATTAAATAATGTATTGGTTAGCTGTGCTGTTTTTAGGTTCCCAAAGTGAAAGGCATGATAGATTTCCATGCTTTGGAGAAAGAGCTGGAAGAAGCTATTGCCACAGATGAGAAATACCAGAGAGAAAATGAGGCTAAATTTCGAGCGGTACATCAGAAAGTATCATCTTATGAAGAATTCAGGTTTCTTGATTTTCAGATTCCTTTATTGATTTGATGCAGAATGTGAATAAAAACATTTATTTATCCATGACGGCAATTTCCTTTGAATTTAGCACACTTATTAAACAAATAATAATGAAATAAATAATACATATAAGTTTTGTAAGTCTAGTTATTTTTAAAATCGGAACTTTTCTTTATTTTCGTACTGTGATTTTTGAGCTGCCTTCCCAACTGTTCTATTGGTGCTGAAAAATGTTTTCATTTATTTTATAGTAGCCTATTTGGTCTGTTAACACTGGAGAGTAATAATTGTCTCATAATATTAGTAGTTCTTTAATGTTTATTTCATTGCATGTAGAACAGTGAATGATATATTTACACACTGAATAACAACTTAAATGTTAATCACAGAATGTAAACATTAGAAAGCAATCTAGGAGACTTTCTTATCTAGTACTTTTATTTTGTGCAGGAAATGTGCTACAACACTAGAAAAATATTCATTTCTGTGATATAGTGCAGCTTTCATTATCCTCAATTTTAACTTCTGCATTTCTAAGAGAAGGGAGCCAAATAACTTTAACAATTAAATCATTCTTCCTCCTATTATTTTACATAATATATCAGGAAAGAAGCAACAACTGGAGCACATAACACAGAGGCTAAAGTTTGTTTTATGTAATACATAATATATCAGGAAAGAAGCAACAACTGGAGCACATAACACAGAGGCTAAAGTTACTAGTTAAAATTGAAGAAGCAGAGGTGTCCTCTCTAATGCATTTTTTTTCTTACATGTTGCAATATCTATTGTATATTGCATATTATATATTGTAAGTTATCCAAAGTTTTATATGGTAGAGTGGCCTTTCCCATAAACTTAAGGGGCCAGGCAAGATGCATGATATAACTTTCTTATAATTTAAATAATTGGATGAAATGAGATTTTAGTAGCTTTAAACCAAGTTGCTGTTACTAAAATGGTTATCTGAAATGTCTCCAGAATCTTCCTCCATTCTGTCTGCAGAGATATTGTTCTAGCCTCCCATTTGAAACCTCTGGAGAAAAAGGACAAAATGGGAAGTGGCAGAAATGTGTTGTGGAACTCCTGTGCAGTTAAAGCAAAACACAAACAAGAGAGTAAGATAGACTTGCCTCAGGTAAGAGTAATTCTGTCTATGAGCCGAAATGTTTCTCCAAATATTTTTTTTAATTAAATCTGTTTTAATTTTTTATTTTATCTAGGAACTAAAATTAGAAGATTGTTTTTTCCAATATTTGAATAAATCTAACAATGCTATGGAATTATTACTATCCTATTTTATCCTATCCTGTACTGTCCTATCCTAACCATCCTATTCATTTTTCTAGTTTTTATCGTTTTGTTGAAGGATTATACCCAAAAAGCATATCTTTTTTAAGAGATTGTATTCTGCTTTTCTCTTTTTTGATCTCTTCTGATTGCTCATCATTAATTAATATATTGTGGGATTTTTGTTTTTAAAAATCTGTTTCTAGCAGCCCTGTTTAAATTTCACTTTCCATAAAACATTAATTGATATTTTAAAAATGAAAAAAGTTATTAATTGTTGAGTTGGAAAGTACAATAGGTGGTGGGACTATGTCATTTTTTAAAATTATCTAGGAATTAGAACACCTGCCTGAGACTTCTGCAGAGTTCTACAGAGATTGGCGCAGATGTATGAAAAACAATCAGGATCGCTATCTCCTCCTCCTCCAACTTGGATCCCAAAACTTGGGCCGGATCTTCCAAACAGATCTTGCTTTTGGCCTCTTAGGTGAATTTCTAGTGGTGCTGAACCAAAATGCTTGCATCAAAGACTACAATTTTATCTTGGATATCTTGGAGAATTTATCAGGCACCAAACGTTTTGGACTAAACATTGAACTCCTTAGTGAGGCAGAGAAAGAAAACTGCAGGCAGTTATTTGAAAAATTGCAAAAAATAGAAAGTGGCCTTGGCAATTTTTCTGAAATCCAACAGATTCCAAATGAAGATGGTACAGATGCTACTCAAATCTATTGTCAAGCAGGTAAAGGAATTGAAAAAAAAGTGTTAAAACTGATGAACCTTTACCAAATCTCCTTGATCAATTCTTGAGTATATACTAATGACTAAGAATGGAAACATTGTAATATAAAGAAAGGTCTAGGTGTCTATAAGCCTTTTTTAGTATTTATTAGAAAAATAAGAGAATATGAAAAATAGATATATAATCAGAGAGTGCTCACCTCTTGCTTTTTGTCTCTCTTTGTCATTAAAATGTTTTTTGTCATTAAAATGTACGAACTTAAACCATTATCAGTTTAAAATTATGCATTATTTGTTTTTTGAGTACTTTTGTCATACGTCTTACTACACATCTTTCTTGATCTTCTGTTTTAGTTAAATGCTTAGTCCTTGAAGTATCAAAGGGACCTCTGACAACTCAGATGTGGGCATTTTTGAGCATATTTATATAGATATTTTTTTACTAATAGGTAAGCATAGCAAGCCACTCAGCTGAAACAGAGACAAGAACTTTTAATTCAGATTGAAGAACCTAAAAGCAAGTATTAACTATAAATATGCTTTTATTAAGATATTTTGAGAGAATGCATTTTATTCTTTACAGCTACACAGTATCAGTGACAGGGTATGATAGATTGATTGTCGATTTCTAGGTGCTCACCATAGCAATAATCCAGTTAACAGCTAAGAAGCAAACTTTTGAGTAGCCGCAATATTCTGACATATTCCGTTATAGCAAAAATAGTGTTGTATTTCCAGGCTAATATTAACTTGATACTATATTAATTGGGATTTCAACTAGCTTAGTCTTGATAGAGAAAATTTTAAAAACTGTGTTATTCCCAGCAAAGCAATAAAGAAATTTAAGGAAGTTGTTTTGGATCATGGTATTAGATGGTATCAGATGGAACTGTCCTATACCTACAACCTATACAGTACTTTCTAATTAATCTTTATCCTATGTATGCTCTTTCATCCTTCTCATCAGAGGAGCCATATATACCAGAGAGGCCTTGGCAAGTTGAGAGTGCCTATATTTTCATTCATCTTCATTACTTTATTAAATATTAATATGCAGACTCTGTATTCTCAAGAAATTTGCTTTCAGTAAGGGTCAATTTGTTTGGTTTTGTATCATCTTGGGCACTGGAGTTTTTCCCCCCTCCTTTGCTGGTACTTTGCTTGTGTGGAGTGACCATTCAAAGTTACAATGGCACTGAAAAAAGTGACTTATGACCATTTTTCACACTTACGACTGTTGCAGCATCCCCACAATCATGAGAGGCCAGGGGAGGAGATGCGTGCCTCTATGTGAGTGATGTTGAGTTGGCCACTCTCAGCCAATAACATGACCACCAAGCCATGTCCACCAACTAAGCCACGCCCACAGAACCGGTTGTTAAAAAAATTGAACCCCCCTGCTTCTAACCCAAAAAGGTTAGCCACCATTGCTATAATAGTAAAAAATCACAAATAATAGGAGGTAGATTGCTGGGAGGAAATAATCGCTATTTGAGTCTTCTTCCCAAAAAAATATTTCAGATGTTACATTAAATCTTGGTGAAATGAAATAGTTAATGAAACAATTGATGGGTTGAGCAGTATAAGACTATTATGCAATTCTATCAGATGATAAGTTCTGGGAAACTTGAAGGAGAAAGTGCATGCTTATATCAGCTTCTCTCTCTCTCTCTCTCTGTCTGTCTCTCTCTCTCTCAATCATAGGCTGATAGGCTGGGAATGAGATGAATGTTTGTCATGAATAGCTGGCAAACACAAAAACCAAGCAGGTTGCCGGGTGTGTTTATACTGTAGTTAAGTAGATGCAAATGGTAAAATGCTTTTTGTTTTTCAAATTCATTTGAATTTGAAGAAGCATCAAATTCACTGAAAGAATTACATAACTGATTTTTTTCTGTTAAGATGACAGGAAATAACATTATCACATTGCAGTAATTATGCTACAGAAATGGCAGTACAGTCTGAAAATCTCTTAACATTGGAACAGAGTGTGATGCTAGGTTTTCTGATTATGAGGCAGCTTCATTTATACAGTCAGTCATAAAGGTCTGCAAGATTTGTCCATATCAGAACTTAGTTGGCATTCTAGAACTCACAGAAGTAATTCCAGAATCTGTCTTTCTTATGAACAGATAATATACACATATGATACACATCGTTAAAATGTAAACTCCTATAGAACATGAAAACCGTTGGATAATATATGGACAGCTATCAAATGGTGTCAGCGGGGTGGGCTGTGATAGCTACAGTCCTTAGCATTGCTGATGTTCTTCATGCCTTTGCTATTATGGAAAAAGAAGATGTGTTCAAGAAGAATCCTTGCCCAGCTTTCTTGATGTTTGAGAATGCTGCTTATTTGGCTGATATGAGTTTTGAATTGCCCTGTAAGTGTAAGCCAGAAGAAATAACTACTGTAGTTTGGTACTTTCAAAAAAGCATGGGCAATCAGCAAACTAAGGTTTTGACAGATTTTGACGGCACTTTGATAGTAGATTCACGCCACATCAAGGTAGGCAGTGACATGCTTCGTCGTTTTAGCATTAGGATGTTCAGTCTCATTGTCTTCCGGATTCAAGTGGAAGATTCAGGGCATTATATTTGTGGTACAAAGAAAGGGGATTTCTTCTATGGTTATGATATAGATGTACAGCCTTCAAGGAGAATAGCTGTTGCCTTTGCAGATGAAGGACAGCATCCACAGAATGACCTCCATGAAACAAATTTCACGGTCTTCACCATTTTCTGGGACTGGACTAAATGCAACCGCTGTGATGTCAGAGGTGAGCAACGGAGAATTGGGCTTTGCTATGTAAAGAGTTCTTCTCTGTTCAAACGGTACCATACCACTTTAGAAGAGGTGGCATCTTGTGGCTCAAAGTCAGTCCCAAAGAATTTCTTTTATGGTATTCAGATGAGAAAGCCTGAGGTTGTAATACGAAGTTGCATGGTATCTTGTAAGGGGGAGATACCTTCAAATGAAGGAGAAGCACCCATTTCAAACATTATCTCAAAGCTTGGAGAAAAACCTTGGGTTTCCAACATCCCTATTCAATTCCACAAGCAGTCCCTTGGCAGAGGATTGATCATTACTTGCCCTGGTGCTAGGCCAGAGCATGCTGTTGCCTGGGATAAAGATTCAACCCGATTATATCTCAGTAGATTTCTCACTGGGGTTAACAAGACCATGAGGGTCTTCATTGACCATGGAAATCACCTCCACATTCGGTTTACCCAGATGAATGACAAAGGTATTTATTACTGCTGGCGAGAAGGAGAAATAGTTGCTGGATTCCGGCTATCTGTATTATATGAAAGTCGCCACAGACGAAGCTTTGATGATCCTGAAAGTCAGTATGCTATTAAGGCTATTATCACAAGCTATGTGCTCATCACCATCTTCTTTACTGCCATTCACATTGTTCGCTGTTGCCTCTATGTGTTTAAATGTACAGCTATGGAATAGCATCTCAAGAAAATGACCATAATGGCCTAATAAGTGATGATGATTATTTGTCTCAAAAGTTATCTGATAATTAATTGATCAACTGTTTCTTTATCAATTAAGTATTTCAGTTTAAGAACACTGTAGAACTCTCACTGAAGCTAAATTTCAGCTCTCTTAAATATGAGAGCTAACATACAATGAGTAAGCAACTGTTAACAAAAGGCAAGGGCAGTAATCTGTTTTCATTAAATATAGCAATATGAAAGTTTTTTTACTGTAGAATTCTCTGCCTTAATAATACCCCAATTGGTAAACCAATTTAAAATCTCTATGTATTGTGAATAATCCAGAAAAATAGTTAACTGAGTATTGTCAGTCTGAGATTCCTGTTGCTGAAGTAGTAACAGTTTCAAATATAGTTGGAACAATATACAGATAGTGCAAATCTGTAGCAGTCACACCTAGGGCAATTACTCTGTTGACATTGAAAGTAGATGAGTAATTAATTTCTTACCCAGTTTAATTGATCTAACAAAGTACAAGCAATTTATTTTGTGCATCTTTTATCTTAAAAGAAACTGTATTTTATTTATGTGCATGTTTATATTGTATGTAAGCCACTATGAATTTTTTTTGGAGAATATCAAATAAAGAAACTGAATAAGCAGTGAAAAACTGAAGGAGAAGCCATTTTTGATGTAATCTTTAATTGTAAAAGAAATGTGATAATAAACAAGTTTGCAATTTTAAACAATTACATTGCTATAGCCTCATATTTTTAATTTCTGTTAAGCATTTACATATAGTCTTCTGTAAAACTATAATTAGAAGTTTATGTGGTACTATAAATATGTAAGCATGTTTATGTGGATAGCTTACAAAGCAGAGCATAAAACTTATGAAGTATTTTAGCATAGTGATTCTAAAAGGAATATATCCAAAATATTAAATAGCCATAAAGTTTAATCATGTTTATGATCCACATTGCTAGTGATAGTATAGCTAGTTTTACTGGAAAATAGGCAAGTTGTATTTAACTCTTTGTGTTGGAAAACTGGGTTCCACCCAGGGGTGGGATCCGACAGGGTTAACTACCAGTTTGGTCATTTACGAGGTTTGGTGATTTACAATGTGCTTCCCTGCCGGCTTTTTTAATTGCAGCTCTGCCTTGCATAGCAGCTGAAGTTGAAAAAAATCAGGAAATAAAGGTCAGGTAAGAGCCCAGGTGGGTGGGTGGGCAAAAACATCAGCAGACATAGAACCGGTTCTATGTCTGCTGCTCTTCAGAGCTACCGGTTCTACAGAGGTAGACAGAACTAGTAGAAACCCACCCCTGGTTCCACCAAATTCCCTAGTTTTATTTTTAAAAGAAAAATAAAAGTTTTGCCATTTCATCCATAGTCACAGCTACTAATTTAAAGGAGGAAAAGAAGAGCGTAAGCATAAACATCATTCAGTATTCTTTTCCAAGTACCATTAAAAACAACAACAGCAAGTCATGTAATCTATGCATAACTGCATGCAATCCAGGGAGTCAACAGTGAAAAATGCAATCAGCAGCATTTGTATAACAACAATAGATAAGTGAAAGTGTTCATACGGCCATCTAAACCGGTCATATAAGAAATGTCCCTAGATTTATATGTAATTTCATTAAGCAGGCTGATGTTTTAAAATCATGCTTGAACATATGGCTGATATAATGGTTGGGAAAACCCAGTCATTCTTCAAAATCCTTTCCCCCTCAAATTGTGTTCATTTAGTTAAAAAAAAACAAGAATTGCCTCAATGCTTCTTATAGGCATGCTCTGTGAAATTCTTCCTTTTTTCCTTGTCAGCACACCTTGGGAAATCCTAACTTCTGTTACTGGCTTCTATCTTTTCTGCTCTGCAACTGAATTCTGCTTTCCTTTAAGCTGAAGCAATGATAAAGAATAGCCCACTGAGCCCTCAGCACAGAGTGGACTGTCATTTATGGCTAGGGTGAGCATTAGCCATAATTCTTAGGGAAGCTGGAAATTGTTATTCAGTAACCTTCAAAGTGCCATAGGTTGCCTAACCCTAATTCAGAGCAATTGCTTCAATATTTGAAATCAGTATCAATTTTTATTTTTATTTATTATTTCTTTCTTCACTGACTTGGTTAAACCAAATGAAATTCTATCAAGTATTTTCCTGCCAAACCTCTAATCTTACAGGCATCTTGTCACTGCCCCTCATTAACACCTGACCTTTCCTCTTCTCTTTCTCTCTTCTGCCACTTCGCCTTTTCATGTTTTTCCCATCACTTCTCCTTGTCATCCACTGCACACCATCCATCTATAGCCCAATGGCTGATAGCACTCAGAAGAGTGCAACTATGTCCTCTTTTTACTTGGATCCTAATACATACAATTTGCTTAATATAAATCACAGGATTATCAAATTGGAAGGTGCTAAAAGCTATAAGAAATTAGCATTCAGTGAAGTAATGCTTTAATGAGATACAGTTACAAGTTCTTAGTTTGGTCAGTATCAGCCACTCTACCGCATAAGATTGCTTGGATAAAATAATGGTAGGGTTAGGGTCATCTAATATCTTAATTCTTTAAAAGAAACATGGGCTATCAATTGGAACTAGTGGGAAGGCAATTCCATCTTACATTTACTGTCAGCAGGCATCTGGATTTAAATCCACAATTAGATTCACAGGAATGAATCTTCTCCTGGCACATACCTCCAAAGATTAGAGAAGCAAGCAATTAAGAACTAAGACTAAGAACAGAAATGGAACTCATTCCATTTCCCTGGCAATTTTAAAATTAACTTGAGTGGAGGGAAATCGAGGAACGATTAAAACACAGGAAAATGGTGATCTTTGAAATAATAGGTACAGTATTTTTTTATCTAGAAATTTTATATTATAGTCTTATCTGAGCCCAAACCTTTTTTTGGGAGGCGGGGTATTTTCTTTGTATAAGATCAGACGTCTTTTGAGCTGCACGTAGCCATATATTTCCCCTCCCCCTTTTTTTCCCTATGGGAAATTTTTTAAAGTCATGATCTATGATTTGAACAATCCTATATTTTTATAGGATTTTCACTGATTTTTGCATGGGTATTTGCAATGGTATTTTTATATTTTTCCTTTCTCCTTTTTAAAAAAAAATGAAGATGTATTTTATTTCTCTCTTGTGAGCTTTGTCTATCAATAAAGAAAAGGAAGAAAGGCTTAGCCCTTAACAGCATGCCTTAGTGCTACAGATACATTTCAATTCCCCCCCCCCTCATTTTTCCTCTTACTTTTCCACTACCAAGCACTACTCCAAAGAGGGGGGTTGAGATAAGATGTGTCGACTAATAGGCCTTCTACGAGAAAGAATTTTAGACCTCTACATGCTTTCCGTATATGTTCAGTCATTTCCATACATAAGTAAAACATGTAACACATTTGTCTAATTTGGAAAACTGCTATCCATCATAACCAGTAAACCAGCACACAGGATAATAGAAGGCACGCATGCTATAGGAAACAAATTTCAGCCACTATCTAGGTTTTACTGGAATTTTCCCCAAACGACATGCCAATCAAAGGTGAGCAAAATGAATTGCTATGAAGGGAAAACTAGGTACAAGATTAATGGATGTATATAACTAAAATATTATTAATCACTTATTCATGTGTGATAATTTTAAAAGAGAAAAGGGCTTCTGTTGCAAGTTGCCTTCTGCTCTTGGATGAATGGCAACATGTAATTATAACAAATAAATAAATCCTATATTATCTAAAGTAGGCAAACCACAAATTGAGTTATTATTTTTAAATAAAACCTGCCTCCTGCTGACCAGAGTTCCTTCTTGCAGAGGTACAGGAAACCCTTTGGGGATCTTTGCATATTTTCCCTAGGAAAGAAGCTATGCCTTTAAACTTAAACTTCCTCATGAATTATTTTCATAGTAAATTCATAGTAGAATATTTTGTACCAAAATTTCAGTCTGTTATCATCAGAAAATGGGTGTAATCCCAACATAAAGCCAAGGTGGATGTGTCTCATGCATCAGTTCCCACGTCTCCAGTAAATAAGCTTACTTCTAAATTATACTCCTTTAGGTCAATGATTTTCATATGTAAACATAACCAGCACATTTCTGTAATCAGCAGTAACATGATTCCCACTCATTTATTGGTTATAATGAGAAACACCATTATGGCTGTTAAGCCAGCCCCAGAACAATTATTTAGCAAAATGCAGGTAGTCCTTGACTTACGATCACAATGGAGTCCAAAATTTCTGTTGCTAAGTGAATTTTGCCCCATTTGACAATGTTTTTTGCCATATTTGTTAAGTGAATCATGGCAATTCTTAAATTAATAACACAGGCGTTAAGTGAATCTGGCTTTCCCATTGTTGGTCAGAAGGTCACAAAAGGGGCTCACACAAACACTGCAAGAGTCATAAACGTGAGTCAGTTGCTAACCGTCTGAATTTTGATCACATGATTATGGGGATACTGTAATGGTTGTTAGTGTGAAAAACAGTCATAACTCACTTTTTTCAGTGCTGTTGTAACTTTGAATAGTCACTTAAGTGAATTGCTGTAAGTTGAGGACTACCTATATACCCAGGTCTAAATACTGTACTATTTGGGACACTGAAAAGTCACTGCAACAGAAATATTGAAGATAAAAATAAACTCAAAAAAGCCATTATATTCAGCTGAAGCACCAGCTACTGAGTTATTTGGTTATTTTCTGGCATGGTAATTAAATTTGCATATTTCTTATTTCAATGGTTGCTGCAGATTCAAAACTGTGCCAAGGTTGAAGACTGGAAGGATGCAGAACTCTCTTAGCATCCTAACCTAGAAAAATTCTTCCAAGTACTGGTTTTTACTTCATGCCACTTCCTTCTGTTCTTGGGTGGACTCCTTGATCACCTACAATGTTTGGAGAGAATGTGAAAGTTATATCAATTAATGTTAATTGTGACATTTCTCTTTTGTCAGACATGTGCTTCATTTTGCATTCCCTTAAAAAAAATCAAAATAGTTCTCTACCAATTCTACATTAAATAGAGTTTAAAATATAGAATCTTTGATCTTGGAGATCTTCTAATCCAACTCCTTGTGCAAGGCAGAAGACTTTATTCCACCCCAGACAAATGACTGCGCAGTCTCCATCAGCAGTAGAACATCTGCAACTTTGGGAGGTAAGTTGCTCTATTGAGTAATTTTTCTCACTC